GATTTTCATATTCAGCTCTAGTCTATAGTCTAGTCTATAATCTAGTCTATAATCTAGTCTATAATCTAGTCTATAATCTAGTCTATAGTCCAGTCTATGGTCTTGTCTAGTCCATAGTCTAGTCTAGTCTATAGTCTAGTCTATAATCTAGTCTATAATCTAGTCTATAATCTAGTCTATAGTCTAGTCTATAGTCTTGTCTAGTCTATAGTCTATAGTCTAGTCTATAGTCTAGTCTATAGTCTAGTCTATAGTCTAGTCTATAGTCTAGTCTATAGTCTATAGTAGTCTATAGTCTAGTCTATAGTCTAGTCTATGTCTAGTCTTAGTTAGTTCTAAGTCTAGTCTAGTCTAGTCTATAGTCTAGTCTATAGTCTAGTCTATAGTCTAGTCTATAGTCTAGTCTATAGTCGAGTCTATAGTCTAGTCTATAGTCTAGTCTAGTAGCTATAGTCTAGTCTATAGTCTAGTCTATAGTCTAGTCTATAGTCTAGTCTATAGTCTAGTCTATAGTCTAGTCTATAGTCTAGTCTATAGGTCTAGGTCTATAGTCTAGTCTATAGTCTAGTCTATAGTCAGTTAGGTCTAGTCTATAGTCTAGTCTATAGTCTAGTCTATAGTATAGTCTATAGTCTAGTCTAGTCTAGTCTATAGTCTAGTCTATAGTCTAGTCTCTAGTCTAGTCTAGTTAGTCATAGTCTAGTCTATAGTCTAGTCTATAGTAGTCTATAGTCTAGTATCGTCTAGTCTATAGTCTAGTCTATAGTCTAGTCTATAGTCTAGTCTATAGTCTAGTCTAGTTACTAGTCTATAGTCTAGTTATAGTCTAGTCTATAGTCTAGTCTATAGTCTAGTCTATAGTCTAGTCTATAGTCTAGTCTATAGTCTAGTCTATAGTCTAGTCTATAGTCTAGTCTATAGTCTAGTCTATAGTCTAGTCTATAGTCTAGTCTATAGTCTAGTCTGTAGTCTAGTCTATAGTCTAGTCTATAGTCTAGTCTATAGTCCTAGTCTATAGTCTAGTCTATAGTCTAGTCTATAGTCTTAGTCTATAGTCTAGTCCAGCGGTTCCCACCGTTTTTTACTTCGCGGACCCCTTGAGGAATTTATTTAGTTTCACGGACCCCCATACATATTTTGATATCTTATTGTTTATAAATAATTGTTCATGCCGAAAATTGTCTTAGTCCAGGTCCATAAACCCTATAAAATATTCCCGTACATTGAGAATATTTAGTATTCGGAGATGTTTTCAATTGCATGGTTTTAAATTGAATGACTTCTAACATGATGTTTAATTTTATGATCGTGAGAGCTTTCATGTTCATTCTCGTCAAGGTAGCGAAAAGGTTTCTTTATCAAGTATTGTCGACATGTGCTTAAAGAGTCATGTTTCTAAATTTTTTGCGATTGCATAGGAGTGAGCTGAGTATGTAAGCTAAGTTTTCGGGAAAATATGTGAAAGTTAGAATTCTTCGATGTTGTTGCGGAATGCGTTTACCCACATAAAATATGACCTGAACTCTTTGCGAATGTACTGTGAATTTGGATCTTAAATTTGAATTTAAAATACCTACGAATTATTTTACTGCGTGGTTTTGACTATTTACGCAAAACGCTATGAATTTTCTGATGTTGATTTAATAATATTGGACAACAAAATGAAGTTAAAATCTGTGTATTACGTCGGAATGGAATATTTATATTTAAAATTAACTTAATTAATTTATGAAAAAATTGGAGATATTTTTAATATTTTTCTAATATATAGAGAAAATTTTTTATTCATGATTTTTTTCGTTCGTCTTCGCGGACCCCCTAGGATTTTTCTACGGACCACTGGGGGTCCGCGGACCCCCTTTTGGGAACCGTTGGTCTAGTCTATAGTCTAGTCTATAGTCTAGTCTATAGTCTAGTCTATAGTCTAGTCTATAGTCTAGTCTATAGTCTAGTCTATAGTCTAGTCTATAGTTTAGTCTATAGTCTAGTCTATAGTCTAGTCTATAGTCTAGTCTATAGTCTAGTCTATAGTCTAGTCTATAGTCTAGTCTATAGTCTAATCTATGTTCTTAGTCTATAGTCTAGTCTATAGTCTAGTCTATAGTCTAGTTTATAGTCTAGTCTATAGTCTAGTCTATAGTCTAGTCTATAGTCTAGTCTATAGTCTAGTCTATAGTCTAGTCTATAGTCTAGTCTATAGTCTAGTCTATAGTCTAGTCTATAGTCTAGTCTATAGTCTAGTCTATAGTCTAGTCTATAGTCTAGTCTATAGTCTAGTCTATAGCTAGTCTATAGTCTAGTCTATAGTCTAGTCTATAGTCTAGTCTATAGTCTAGTCTATAGTCTAGTCTATAGTATAGTCTATAGTCTAGTCTATAGTCTAGTCTATAGTCTAGTCTATAGTCTAGTCTATAGTCTAGTCTATAGTCTAGTCTATAGTCTAGTCTATAGTCTAGTCTATAGTCTAGTCTATAGTCTAGTCTATAGTCTAGTCTATAGTCTAGTCTATAGTCTAGTCTATAGTCTAGTCTATAGTCTAGTCTATAGTCTAGTCTATAGTCTAGTCTATAGTCTAGTCTATAGTCCAGTCTATAGTCTAGTCTATAGTCTAGTCTATAGTCCAGTCTATAGTCTAGTCTATAGTCTAGTCTATAGTCTAGTCTATAGTCTAGTCTATAGTCTAGTCTATAGTCTAGTCTATAGTCTAGTCTATAGTCTAGTCTATAGTCTAGTTTTATAGTCTAGTCTATAGTCTAGTTTATAGTCTAGTTTATAGTCTAGTCTATAGTCTAGTCTATAGTCTAGTCTATAGTCTAGTTTATAGTCTAGTCTATAGTCTAGTCTAGTCTAGTCTATAGTCTAGTCTATAGTCTAGTCTATAGTCTAGTCTATAGTCTAGTCTATAGTCTAGTCTATAGTCTAGTCTATAGTCTAGTCTATAGTCTAGTCTATAGTCTAGTCTATAGTCTAGTCTATAGTCTAGTCTATAGTCTAGTCTATAGTCTAGTCTATAGTCTAGTCTATAGTCTAGTCTATAGTCTAGTCTATAGTCTAGTCTATAGTCTAGTCTATAGTCTAGTCTATAGTCTAGTCTATAGTCGTCTATAGTCTAGTCTATAGTCTAGTCTATAGTCTAGTCTATAGTCTAGTCTATAGTCTAGTCTATAGTCTAGTCTATAGTCTAGTCTATAGTCTAGTCTATAGTCTAGTCTATAGTCTAGTCTATAGTCTAGTCTATAGTCTAGTCTATAGTCTGTCTATAGTCTAGTCTATAGTCTAGTCTATAGTCTAGTCTATAGTCTAGTCTATAGTCTAGTCTATAGTCTAGTTATAGTCTAGTCTATAGTCTAGTCTATAGTCTAGTCTATAGTCTAGTCTATAGTCTAGTCTATAGTCTAGTCTATAGTCTAGTCTATAGTCTAGTCTATAGTCTAGTCTATAGTCTAGTCTATAGTCTAGTCTATAGTCTAGTCTATAGTCTAGTCTATAGTCTAGTCTATAGTCTAGTCTATAGTCTAGTCTATAGTCTAGTCTATAGTCTAGTCTATAGTCTAGTCTATAGTCTAGTCTATAGTCTAGTCTATAGTCTAGTCTATAGTCTAGTCTATAGTCTAGTCTATAGTCTAGTCTATAGTCTAGTCATAGTCTAGTCTATAGTCTAGTCTATAGTCTAGTCTATAGTCTAGTCTATAGTCAGTCTCTAGTCTAGTCTATAGTTTAGTCTATAGTCCAGTCTATAGTCTAGTCTATAGTCTAGTCTATAGTCTAGTCTATAGTCTAGTCTATAGTCTAGTCTATAGTCCAGTCTATAGTCTAGTCTATAGTCTAGTCTATAGTCCAGTCTATAGTCTAGTCTATAGTCTAGTCTATAGTCTAGTCTATAGTCTAGTCTATAGTCTAGTCTATAGTCTAGTCTATAGTCTAGTCTATAGTCTATCTATAGTCTAGTCTATAGTCTATTTTATAGTCTAGTCTATAGTCTAGTTATTAGTCTAGTTTATAGTCTAGTCTATAGTCTAGTCTATAGTCTAGTCTATAGTCTAGTTTATAGTCTAGTCTATAGTCTAGTCTATAGTCTAGTCTATAGTCTAGTCTATAGTCTAGTCTATAGTCTAGTCTATAGTCTAGTCTATAGTCTAGTCTATCTAGTCTATAGTCTAGTCTATAGTCTAGTCTATAGTCTAGTCTATAGTCTAGTCTATAGTCTAGTCTATAGTCTAGTCTATAGTCTAGTCTATAGTCTAGTCTATAGTCTAGTCTATAGTCTAGTCTATAGTCTAGTCTATAGTCTAGTCTATAGTCTAGTCTATAGTCTAGTCTATAGTCTAGTCTATAGTTAGTCTATAGTCTAGTCTATAGTCTAGTCTATAGTCTAGTCTATAGTCTAGTCTATAGTCTAGTCTATAGTCTAGTCTAAGTCTAGTCTATAGTCTAGTCTATAGTCTAGTCTATAGTCTAGTCTATAGTCTAGTCTATAGTCTAGTCTATGTCTAGCTATAGTCTAGTCTATAGTATAGTCTATAGTCTAGTCTATAGTCTAGTCTATAGTTTAGTCTATAGTTTAGTCTATAGTCTAGTCTATAGTCTAGTCTATAGTCTAGTCTATAGTCTTGTCTATAGTATAGTCTATAGTCTAGTCTATAATCTAGGCTATAGTGCTTGTAAATTTTCATATAACTCTTTTTAAATAAAATTTAATAATTCATTATTCCTAATCGTCAAAAAATTTAATTTATTTTTCTGCTTAGAAAATATTAGAAATTGCAATATTAAAATATTAATAACTTGCTACAAATACCTAATTAATTTAATTCATTCGAAAAATATGAAAAAATCTTGGGAAATTTAGAAAATAATGCAATTTGTATGCTTTACTAAGATGTAACATATAATTATATATAATTTCCGTGGAATCTACTTCAATAGTGTTTTAACTCAAAATTTTGATATTTTTAACCCAAATATGTAGTTTTAATTTTAAAATATGGAAAATATAAATGATGACTTAGTATACAATTGAAATACATATTGCTCATTGTACATACATATATGCAAGTATTTTTAATAAAGAAAACCCCCCACTTACAATGAATTGAAAACAATTGTAAGTAAGAATTGTGTTAAACAAAAAGAAATTGTATTTACATAAATGAGATTTACTTATTACTTGGCTAAAACCTATAAAAACTTATTGATGACTCTCGCCAACAATCATTTCAATTGTTACAATTCAAACAAAGACATTAAAATATTCGCTGCACAAAAATGAAATATATTGCAGTACTTGTATGCGGTAAGTTTCCTTAATATATAAATAATCCCCATTTAATTTTTTATTAAAAATCAATATTTAAATTTTTAGCCTTATTTTTGATCTGCTCGGTTCAGGCACAATGTCCTAGTATTTGTCCAGCTGTTTATCAGCCAGTTTGTGGTTTTAATGGTCGCTGTTACAAACAATTCAGCAACTCTTGTCAGATGGGGGTGGAAAATTGCAATAAAAAACAGAGTAAGTTAGAGTAATGAACAATGTTGTTTAGTGTAGCATATCTATAGCCTAGTCTATAGTCTAGTCTATAGTCTAGTATATAGCCTAGTCTTTAATCCAGTTAATAGCCTATAGCTTAGTCTATAGTATAGTCTATAGTCGAGTCTAGTGTATATCACAGTCTATAGTCTAGTATAGTCTAGTATATCACCTGATCTTTAGTCTAGTCAAGAGTCTAGTCCATAGTCTGGTCTATATTCCAGTCTAGATTATAGTCTATAGTTTAGTAGACTATGGAGTCTTTTATCTAGTCTATAATCTAGTCTTTAATATTGTCTATAATCTAGTCTAGTTTGTATTCTAGTTTATAGTCTGGTCTATAGTCTAGTCCATGATCTAGAATAGTCTGTTCTATTGCCAAGTCTGTAGTCTAGTCTTTAGTCTAGTCTATAGTCTAGTCTATAGTCTAGTCTATAGTCTAGTCTATAGTCTAGTCTATAGTCTAGTCTATAGTCTAGTCTATAGTCTAGTCTATAGTCTAGTCTATAGTCTAGTCTATAGTCTAGTCTATAGTCTAGTCTATAGTCTAGTCTATAGTCTAGTCTATAGTCTAGTCTATAGTCTAGTCTATAGTCTAGTCTATAGTCTAGTCTATAGTCTAGTCTATAGTCTAGTCTATAGTCTAGTCTATAGTCTAGTCTATAGTCTAGTCTATAGTCTAGTCTATAGTCTAGTCTATAGTCTAGTCTATAGTCTAGTCTATAGTCTAGTCTATAGTCTAGTCTATAGTCTAGTCTATAGTCTAGTCTATAGTCTTAGTCTATAGTCTAGTCTATAGTCTAGTCTATAGTCTAGTCTATAGCCTAGTCTATAGCCTAGTCTATAGTCTAGTCTATAGTCTAGTCTATAGTCTAGTCTATAGTCTAGTCTATAGTCTAGTCTATAGTCTAGTCTATAGTCTAGTCTATAGTCTAGTCTATAGTCTAGTCTATAGTCTAGTCTATAGTCTAGTCTATAGTCTAGTCTATATTCTAGTCTATAGTCTAGTCTATAGTCTAGTCTATAGTCTAGTCTATAGTCTAGTCTATAGTCTAGTCTATAGTCTAGTCTATAGTCTAGTCTATAGTCTAGTCTATAGTCTAGTCTATAGTCTAGTCTATAGTCTAGTCTATAGTCTAGTCTATAGTCTAGTCTATAGTCTAGTCTATAGTCTAGTCTACAGTCTAGTCTATAGTCTAGTCTATAGTCTAGTCTATAGTCTAGTCTATAGTCTAGTCTATAGTCTAGTCTATAGTCTAGTCTATAGTCTAGTCTATAGTCTAGTCTATAGTCTAGTCTATAGTCTAGTCTATAGTCTAGTCTTTAGTCCAGTCTATAGTCTAGTCTATAGTCTATAGTCTAGTCTATAGTCTAGTCTATAGTCTAGTCTATAGTCTAGTCTAGTCTAGTCTAGTCTAGTCTATAGTCTAGTCTATAGTCTAGTCTATAGTCTAGTCTATAGTCTAGTCTATAGTCTAGTCTATAGTCTAGTCTATAGTCTAGTCTATAGTCTAGTCTATAGTCTAGTCTATAGTCTAGTCTATAGTCTAGTCTATAGTCTAGTCTATAGTCTAGTCTATAGTCTAGTCTATAGTCTAGTCTATAGTATAGTCTATAGTCTAGTCTATAGTCTAGTCTATAGTCTAGTCTATAGTCTAGTCTATAGTCTAGTCTATAGTCTAGTCTATAGTCTAGTCTATAGTCTAGTCTATATCTAGTCTATAGTCTAGTCTATAGTCTAGTCTATAGTCTAGTCTATAGTCTAGTCTATAGTCTAGTCTATAGTCAAGTCTATAGTCTAGTCTATAGTCAAGTCTATAGTCTAGTCTATAGTCTAGTCTATAGTCAAGTCTATAGTCTAGTCTATAGTCAAGTCTATAGTCTAGTCTATAGTCTAGTCTATAGTCTAGTCTATAGTCTAGTCTATATTCTAGTCTATAGTCTAGTCTATAGTCTAGTCTATAGTCTAGTCTATAGTCTAGTCTATAGTCTAGTCTATAGTCTAGTCTATAGTCTAGTCTATAGTCTAGTCTATAGTCTAGTCTATAGTCTAGTCTATAGTCTAGTCTATAGTCTAGTCTATAGTCTAGTCTAGTCTAGTCTATAGTCTAGTCTATAGTCTAGTCTATAGTCAAGTCTATAGTCTAGTCTATAGTCAAGTCTATAGTCTAGTCTATAGTCTAGTCTATAGTCAGTCTATAGTCTAGTCTATAGTCAAGTCTATAGTCTAGTCTATAGTCTAGTCTATAGTCTAGTCTATAGTCTAGTCTATAGTCTAGTCTATAGTCTAGTCTATAGTCTAGTCTATAGTCTAGTCTATAGTCTAGTCTATAGTCTAGTCTATTGTCTAGTCTATAGTCTAGTCTATAGTCTAGTCTATAGTCTAGTCTATAGTCTAGTCTATAGTATAGTCTATAGTCTAGTCTATAGTCTAGTCTATAGTCTAGTCTATAGTCTAGTCTATAGTCTAGCATAGTCTAGTCTATAGTCTAGTCTATAGTCTAGTCTATAGTCTAGTCTATAGTCTAGTCTATAGTCTAGTCTATAGTCTAGTCTATAGTCTAGTCTATAGTCTAGTCTATAGTCTAGTCTATAGTCTAGTCTATAGTCTAGTCTATAGTCTAGTCTATAGTCTAGTCTATAGTCTAGTCTATAGTCTAGTCTATAGTCTAGTCTATAGTCTAGTCTATAGTCTAGTCTATAGTGTAGTCTATAGTCTAGTCTATAGTCTAGTCTATAGTCTAGTCTATAGTCTAGTCTATAGTCTAGTCTATAGTCTAGTCTATAGTCTAGTCTATAGTCTAGTCTATAGTGTAGTCTATAGTCTAGTCTATAGTCAAGTCTATAGTCTAGTCTATAGTCTAGTCTATAGTCAAGTCTATAGTCTAGTCTATAGTCAAGTCTATAGTCTAGTCTATAGTCTAGTCTATAGTCTAGTCTATAGTCTAGTCTATAGTCTAGTCTATAGTCTAGTCTATAGTCTAGTCTATAGTCTAGTCTATAGTCTAGTCTATAGTCTAGTCTATAGTCTAGTCTATAGTCTAGTCTATAGTCTAGTCTATAGTCTAGTCTATAGTCTAGTCTATAGTCTAGTCTATAGTCTAGTCTATAGTCTAGTCTATAGTCTAGTCTATAGTATAGTCTATAGTCTAGTCTATAGTCTAGTCTATAGTCTAGTCTATAGTCTAGTCTATAGTCTAGTCTATAGTCTAGTCTATAGTCTAGTCTATAGTCTAGTCTATAGTCTAGTCTATAGTCTAGTCTATAGTCTAGTCTATAGTCTAGTCTATAGTCTAGTCTATAGTCTAGTCTATAGTCTAGTCTATAGTCTAGTATAGTCTAGTCTATAGTCTAGTCTATAGTCTAGTCTATAGTCTAGTCTATAGTCTAGTCTATAGTCTAGTCTATAGTCTAGTCTATAGTCTAGTCTATAGTCTAGTCTATAGTCTAGTCTATAGTCTAGTCTATAGTCTAGTCTATAGTCTAGTCTATAGTCTAGTCTATAGTCTAGTCTATAGTCTAGTCTATAGTCTAGTCTATAGTCTAGTCTATAGTCTAGTCTATAGTCTAGTCTATAGTCTAGTCTATAGTCTAGTCTATAGTCTAGTCTATAGTCTAGTCTATAATCTTGCCTATAGTCTAGCCTGGAGTCTAGTCTTGCCTAGTATATATTCTAGTCTATTTATAGACTAGTCTATAATAGTATAGTCCAATATTTAGTCTAGTATATATATTATTCAACAGTTTTGAAATGTCATATTATAAAAAAATATGATTTTGATTGTTTATTTTCAGATTTCAGACAAGTGAGTTTGGGAAACTGTAATGGATCAAAAAGATGTTAATTTAACAACATTATACATATCAACAATGAAAAAAAATATAATATATATTAATTAAGTAAATATTATATTTTAGTCCTAATACATCTATCATTTATAAACATAATTTGGGTATCATTCTTGTAAAAATAAAAAATAAAATTATTATTTTAAAATAAAAAATAAATGTCATGCAGTCTGTAGCACAACCTTATAAGAATAACGCGTTGACCTAACAAACACCCGCTAATGACTTGTACTTACTCAACAACATACTTTTCACTGACAACTACTTACCGTCTGCATTACTTAGAATTACTCTGGTAATGACTTTCCTTTAATCTAATACAGAAGTAGTGTGGTTCAATGAGTAGAACATTTGACTTACAAACTGAAGTTCCTAGACTATAATCAAGTCTATAGACTTTTTAACTAAAAAACAACGCTGCTATAAAAGTTTTAAATCTGACCAAATTTAAACATTTCTAAACCACTGTGTACTTTAAACTTTTTTTAAACTGTAAACGTTTGTTTATAGCGTTTGGATAACAACTTTTAGTTCGCTACTATTATTAGGGACGGTTTTAAACAAATTACAGAATATTAATTTTGATCAGTTATAATAAACAAATACAGTGTTTTCCTTTAAAACTATTATAATGTTTACCGATATTTTAAATTTAATAATAAACTACCCAATAAAAACTGGTATATTTCGCAGAAATCTCAACCAGTTTATACATAAATTAAAATAAACCTATTAATAAATAATAATTTTCTAACATCATTTTACTTAAAACTAAATATTTACTTCATTTAAAAGTCTTTTAATCGGCATTGAAGAATCGTATTCGAACCCTACATTTGTTAAAGTTGTAAATCGTAAAAATTGTTGCAACGATAACTTAATCTCCATAAGGAAGCGAATGGAGTCACACTTGATCAACAATTGCTAAGTAAACAACATCTTAAGAGTATTATTTTGCCTAGAGTGGAACCTACTATAGGCTGCAAATTGTTACCAATGTTACCAACCAACCAAATATACAAAATAGTACATCTTCAGCAAACAAATTAAAAATCAAAACCAAAAATACAAAAAAATAAACAAACTTTTTTTTGGCGAAAATAAAAAACCCCCACTTAATTAGCACTTTGGCAACGAAAAACAAAATCACAGCCGGCAAATTGTATAAGTGTGGGTTCGATAATAAAAATTATAGATTCAATTTTATTTTGAACACGTTCTCTAGCGTCAGGTTGTGGAATCACCGAAAAACTATAAAAACTTATTAAAATTTAAATTTAAAAATCATATTGATAACAGCTACTCGCCCTTAAACACTAAAGTTAAACAATAAAATTGACAAAATGAAATTTTTTATTCGCTATTATTTGCCGGTAAGTAGAAGATATTGGAGAAATAAATAAATTGGAAATTTGAGTGCTAAAGAATAATCTTAAAAATTTTAGCTTTATTCTTCATCTGCGCCTCTGGAGTACAAGCCCAACAATGTCCCGTTGCTTGCCCAGCATTATTTAGACCCACCTGCGCTTTTCAACGGTCGTTGCCACAAACAATTCACCAACGATTGTTTTGATGAACTACGAAAACTGCAGTAAGAAAGAAAGTAAGTTGGAATTATTAAATAAAATTATAAAAAAAACCCGAGGCTGAATAATTTCTATAAAATTTTTTTCAATTTCCATCCGCTATATTGAATCAGGGGACTTTTTAGATCCTCTTTTTTTTAATATTCCTATAGATATAATTTGAATTTTTATTTGTTATTTTCAGACTTCCAAATTGTAGAATTAGCTAAATGCTCTCAAAAGGGTTGCCGTTCAATGTTAAATTAAATATAAGTTATTGTTTATTTTATATAGAAAAAACATTAAGTTATAATAAAGTAAAAAGTTAATTAAAAAATGTAATCTTCCCTTTAATAAATAGTGTACTTTACAGAACAAATCCAAACGAAAACGGTTATTTTTTATATTTAACAAAGTACCCATATAGTCTAGTCTATAGTCTAGTCTATAGTCTAGATAGTCTAGTCTATAGTCTAGTCTATAGTCTAGTCTATAGTCTAGTCTATAGTCTAGTCTATAGTCTAGTCTATAGTCTAGTCTATAGTCTAGTCTATAGTCTAGTCTATAGTCTAGTCTATAGTCTAGTCTATAGTCTAGTCTATAGTCTAGTCTATAGTCTAGTCTATAGTCTAGTCTATAGTCTAGTCTATAGTCTAGTCTATAGTCTAGTCTATAATCTAGTCTATAATCTAGTCTATAGTCTAGTCTATAGTCTAGTCTATAGTCTAGTCTATAGTCTAGTCTATAGTCTAGTCTATAGTCTAGTCTATAGTCTAGTCTATAGTCTAGTCTATAGTCTAGTCTATAGTCTAGTCTATAGTCTAGTCTATAGTCTAGTCTATAGTCTAGTCTATAGTCTAGTCTATAGTCTAGTCTATAGTCTAGTCTATAGTCTAGTCTATAGTCTAGTCTATAGTCTAGTCTATAGTCTAGTCTATAGTCTAGTCTATAGTCTAGTCTATAGTCTAGTCTATAGTCTAGTCTATAGTCTAGTCTATAGTCTAGTCTATAGTCTAGTCTATAGTCTAGTCTATAGTCTAGTCTATAGTCTAGTCTATAGTCTAGTCTATAGTCTAGTCTATAGTCTAGTCTATAGTCTAGTCATAGTCTAGTCTATAGTCTAGTCTATAGTCTAGTCTATAGTCTAGTCTATAGTCTAGTCTATAGTCTAGTCTATAGTCTAGTCTATAGTCTAGTCTATAGTCTAGTCTATAGTCTAGTATAGTCTAGTCTATAGTCTAGTCTATAGTCTAGTCTATAGTCTAGTCTATAGTCTAGTCTATAGTCTAGTCTATAGTCTAGTCTATAGTCTAGTCTATAGTCTAGTCTATAGTCTAGTCTATAGTCTAGTCTATAGTCTAGTCTATAGTCTAGTCTATAGTCTAGTCTATAGTCTAGTCTATAGTCTAGTCTATAGTCTAGTCTATGTCTAGTCCTATGTCTAGTCTATAGTCTAGGTCTATAGTCTAGTCTATAGTCCTAGTCCTATAGTCTAGTCTATAGTCTAGTCTATAGTCTAGTCTATAGTCTAGTCTATAGTCTAGTCCTATAGTCCTGTATATAGTCTAGTCTATAGTCTAGTCGATAGTCAGGTCTAGAGTCTAGTCTAATAGTCTAGTCTAGAGTCTAGTCTATAGTCTAGTCTATAGGTCTAAGTCTATAGTCTAGTCTCATAGTCTAGTCTATAGTCTAGGTCTATAGTCCTAGTCTATAGTCTAGTCTATAGTCTATGTCTATAGTCTAGTCTATAGTCTAGTCTATAGTGCTAGTCTATAGTCTAGTCCTATAGTCTAGTCTAGTCAGATCTATGTCTAGTCTAGTCTATAGTCTAGTCTATAGTCTAGTCTATAGTCTCGTCTATAGTCTAGTCTATAGTCTAGTCTATAGTCTAGTCTATAGTCTAGTCTATAGTCTAGTCTTAGTCTAGTCTATAGTCTAGTCTATAGTCTAGTCTATAGTCTAGTCTATAGTCTAGTCTATAGTCTAGTCTATAGTCTAGTCTATAGTCTAGTCTATAGTCTAGTCTATAGTCTAGTCTATAGTCTAGTCTATAGTCTAGTCTATAGTCTAGTCTATAGTCTAGTCTATAGTCTAGTCTATAGTCTAGTCTATAGTCTAGTCTATAGTCTAGTCTATAGTCTAGTCTATAGTCTAGTCTATAGTCTAGTCTATAGTCTAGTCTATAGTCTAGTCTATAGTCTAGTCTATAGTCTAGTCTATAGTCTAGTCTATAGTCTAGTCTAGTCTAGTCTATAGTCTAGTCTATAGTCTAGTCTATAGTCTAGTCTATAGTCTAGTCTATAGTCTAGTCTAGTCTAGTCTATAGTCTAGTCTATAGTCTAGTCTATAGTCTAGTCTATAGTCTAGTCTATAGTCTAGTCTATAGTCTAGTCTATAGTCTAGTCTATAGTCTAGTCTATAGTCTAGTCTATAGTCTAGTCTATAGTCTAGTCTATAGTCTAGTCTATAGTCTAGTCTATAGTCTAGTCTATAGTCTAGTCTATAGTCTAGTCTATAGTCTAGTCTATAGTCTAGTCTATAGTCTAGTCTATAGTCTAGTCTATAGTCTAGTTCTATAGTCTAGTCTATAGTCTAGTCTATAGTCTAGTCTATAGTCTACTCTATAGTCTAGTCTATAGTCTAGTCTATAGTCTAGTCTATAGTCTAGTCTATAGTCTAGTCTATAGTCTAGTCTATAGTCTAGTCTATAGTCTAGTCTATAGTCCTAGTCTTAATCTATAGCTTAGTCTATAGTCTAGTCTATAGTCTAGTCTATAGTCTAGTCTATATTCTAGTCTATAGTCTAGTCTATAGTCTAGTCTATAGTCTAGTCTATAGTCTAGTCTATAGTCTAGTCTATAGTCTAGTCTATAGTTCTAGTCTATAGTCTAGTCTATAGTCTAGTCTATAGTCTAGTCTATAGTCAGTCTATAGTCTAGTCTATAGTCTAGTCTATAGTCTAGTCTATATGTCTAGTCTATAGTCTAGTCTATAGTCTAGTCTATAGTCTAGTCTATAGTCTAGTCTATAGTCTAGTCTATAGTCTAGTCTATAGTCTAGTCTATAGTCTAGTCTATAGTCTAGTCTATAGTCTAGTCTATAGTCTAGTCTATAGTTAGTCTATAGTCTACTCTATAGTCTACTCTATAGTCTAGTCTAGTTTACATTTTAGTCTATTCTAAGTAGTCTATAATTTAGTCGATTCCATTGTACATAAACCTATTTTATTCTCGAAATGTTTATGTACGTACTTAGTAGAATTTTTTTTTCGATTAAATTAGTAGGAGTGGTAAGTCATCAGCTGTATTTCCCCCATATTTGTTGAGAAGTTTTAAATAATAAACTAATTCTTATAAATTTAAACAAGTTTACTTAATTATTAAAAATAAAAACTTATTATTGCCTTTTTTATGTTACTTATCAGCAGTGTTGCCATGGTATTATCTCGGGATCTTGAGGCCAAGAGTGACTGGAATTTTATATTGAAAACTAAAACTTATATTGAATGCGAAAATGAATTCAGAATTTAGCTTGGTCCAATATTGCATCCAAAGTTCTGAGCAAAAATTTCAGAACAAGTATCCCACGAAATTTCATTTCACATATGATTTCATCCATAGACGAAATTTAGGGAAATTTCGTGACAAATTGAAATTCAGAAATTTTTATGAAATATTGGATCTAGCTCAAGTCTGAGACCATTTTCGGATTCAGCATAGATTTAAGTCTTAAATGACAAATTTTATTTTCCCTTGGCCTTAAGATTGTATTGTGTAATTAATTAATGTGTAATTTTGTTAATTTAATCGTATGTAGTCTATTACTATTTATTTGCATAATGTTTTAGCAATTACAGACATAAAGATTAATTTGATTTTAAACAAAATTTTATTTAATATTTAAATAAACAACATTAAACTGAACACAAATACGTCACGGATCTTCTAATTCGAATATTATTTAACTTGATGGTACGCAGTAGCTTTTTAGAGTTTCAATAAATAAACATTAGTTGGAATTAAAGACATCTTTAAATTTTTTTTTTTAAATCACTTAATATAAATACATATTAATAAGAAAGTATATATAAAAACATCTTCATACTATTAACCCTTAAATGGTGAAAGCTTTGTTCTGCAGTTCTCATTTTCAGTTTATTTTTAGATATTGTTATTAAAAGGACACGTTTATCATTAAATAAGGATTTAAATATGATTATAGCTATTTTTTCAGGGGCTTGAGAACGTTTAATACAAATTATCTGAAACTATTAATTTCATTAGGCAATTTTAATCAGTTTGTCCTAGAACTAGTCACCATCCAAAAATCGTTTCCTCTGGTATTTGTACACCTATTCCTGGCATGAAGGAGCGAGCGAGCGAGCGAGCGAGCGATCGAGCGAGCGAGCGAGCGAGCGAGCGAGCGAGAGAGCGAGCGAGCGAGCGAGCGAGCGAGCGAGCGAGCGAGCGAGGAGCGAGCGAGCGAGCGAGCGAGCGAGCGAGCGAGCGAGCGAGCGAGAGCGAGGAGCGAGCGAGCGAGAGAGAGAGCGAGCGAGCGAGCGAGCGAGCGAGGAGCGAGCGAGCGAGCGAGCGAGCGAGCGAGCGAGCGAGCGCGAGAGAGGAGAGAGCGAGCGAGCGAGCGAGCGAGCGAGCGAGCGAGCGAGCGAGCGAGCGAGGCGAGCGAGCGAGCGAGCGAGCGAGAGAGCGAGGAGCGAGCGAGCGAGCGAGCGAGCGAGCGAGCGAGCGAGCGAGCGAGCGAGCGAGCGAGCGAGCGAGCGAGCGAGCGAGCGAGCGAGCGAGCGAGCGAGCGAGCGAGCGAGCGAGCGAGGAGCGAGCGAGCGAGCGAGCGAGCGAGGAGCGAGGAGCGAGCGAGCGATCGAGCGAGCGAGCGAGCGGGCGAGCGAGCGAGCGAGCGAGCGAGCGAGCGAGCGAGCGAGGAGCGAGCAGCGAGAGAGGAGCGAGCGAGCGAGGCTATATAGCGAGAGCGATCGATCTAGCGTATCTATCTATACTATCTATATATCTATCTATCTACCATCTATTATCTATAGATCTATCTATCTTCTATCTATCTAGCTATCTATCTATCTATCTATCTATATCTATCTATCTATCTATCTATCTATCTATCTATCTATCTATCTATCATCTTTCGATATAAATTTCGCTAAAACCAGAGAAAGAACTTAAAACAGAGAAAGCCCTAAATTTTAATATATTTAAATTTATTGTTTTTAATATCAACTTTTTAATACTTGTTTTATTCTTTATTTGCAGATTTCAAAAAAGTTGCTATGGAAGACTGTTTAAAACCCGATGCCCCCAGCTGTTAATTGAACTATTTTAGAGTCATGTTAATATATTTTTCTCTAAATTATTCATTAATATTATTCATATTCATATTATTATTCATTAATATTTATTTACTTTTAAATAAAATTAAATTTGCATAAATTAAAAGAACACAGAATTTATTAAAAAGTAAAAAAGTGTATAAAAAAGAGACCAACAAGTAATTGATCTAAATAATAAAGATCTAATATAATAAAGATGTCAAACATGACACTTTTGGAACGACTACTACAGGAACAAATCAGATTCTTAAACATAAGTTCTTTAATATTTAAATATTACATCAAAATACAATTACGGTTGTAATTACAACAAATATTATGAGTCACTTTTGCAGTTGCCGATTTCAATCTTTTAAGGTAAATATGCTTATATTTTTTTCCAAAACTTTTTAACATATTTGCCATTTTAGGGTTAATTGACAATTATGTGTATAAAAGCTTTAATTTTATTTAAATGCTAATCATTATAGAAAATAGCTTCAAACTCTTTAATACTTTTATCTTAAATTTAACTTAAAATGAAAATTTTATCGACTATTGTTTTTGGTAAGTTATTATTAAAATTGTAACCAATTAACCAACTAATATTTTTTTTTAATTGCTCAGCCTTTTTCTTCGTTTGCGCTGTTCAAGCACAAAGAGGTTTCCCCGGCAATCGTCGTCCTCTAGGACCTATTCATGGTGGACCTATTCATGGTGGACCTTTTCAGAGTGGACCTATTCAGAGTGGACCTATTCAGAGTGGACCTATTCAGACTGGTGGTGGCCCTAAATCAGATTGTGCCACCTTTTGTCCCTTGAACTATCAACCTACCTGTGGTTTTAATGGTCGCTGCTATAAGGAATTCAGTAATACTTGTGCTTTGAATGCGGCTACCTGTTTGGGTGAAGGAAGTAAGTTTTAAGTTAAGAAATGTTTCTTGAAGAATTAAGGTAGAAACTAGTGTCTTACTCAGTTTTTAAAATTTGTCCATTCTACATTTGGAATTGCTTTTCTTCGAGGTAGATTGTCAATAGTAAAAAATACTTATGAACTATTTGTAGTTAGTTAGTTAGTTAGTTAGTTAGTTAGTTAGTTAGTTAGTTAGTTGGTTAGTTAGTTAGTTAGTTAGTTAGCTAGTTAGCTAGTTAGCTAGTTAGTTAGTTAGTTAGTTAGTTAGCTAGTTAGTTAGTTAGTTAGTTAGTTAGTTAGTTAGTTAGTTAGTTAGTTAGTTAGTTAGTTAGTTAGTTAGTTAGTTAGTTAGTTAGTTAGTTAGTAGTTAGTTAGTTAGTTAGTTAGTTAGTTAGTTAGTTAGTTAGTTAGTTAGTTAGTTAGTTAGTTAGTTAGTAGTAGTTAGTTAGTTAGTAGTTAGTTAGTTAGTTAGTTATAGTTAGTTAGTTAGTTAGTTAGTTAGTTAGTTAGTTAGTTAGTTAGTTAGTAGTTAGTTAGTTAGTTAGTTAGTTAGTTAGTTAGTTAGTTAGTTAGTTAGTTAGTTAGTTAGTTAGTTAGTTAGTTAGTTAGTTAGTTAGTTAGTTAGTTAGTTAGTTAGTTAGTTAGTTAGTTAGTTAGTTAGTTAGTTAGTTAGTTAGTTAGTTAGTTAGTTAGTTAGTAGTTAGTTAGTTAGTTAGTTAGTTAGTTAGTTAGTTAGTTAGTTAGTTAGTTAGTTAGTTAGTTAGTTAGTTAGTTAGTTAGTTAGTTAGTTAGTTAGTTAGTTAGTTAGTTAGTTAGTTAGTTAGTTAGTTAGTTAGTTAGTTAGTTAGTTAGTTAGTTAGTTAGTTAGTTAGTTAGTTAGTTAGTTAGTTAGTTAGTTAGTTAGTAGTTAGTTAGTTAGTTAGTTAGTAGTTAGTTAGTTAGTTAGTTAGTTAGTTAGTTAGTTAGTTAGTTAGTTAGTTAGTTAGTTAGTTAGTTAGTTAGTTAGTTAGTTAGTTAGTTAGTTAGTTAGTTAGTTAGTTAGTTAGTTAGTTAGTTAGTTAGTTAGTTAGTTAGTTAGTTAGTTAGTTAGTTAGTTAGTTAGTTAGTTAGTTAGTTAGTTAGTTAGTTAGTTAGTTAGTTAGTTAGTTAGTAGTTAGTTAGTTAGTTAGTTAGTTAGTTAGTTAGTTAGTTAGTTAGTTAGTTAGTTAGTTAGTTAGTTAGTTAGTTAGTTAGTAGTTAGTTAGTTAGTTAGTTAGTTAGTTAGTTAGTTAGTTAGTTAGTTAGTTAGTTAGTTAGTTAGTTAGTTAGTTAGTTAGTTAGTTAGTTAGTTAGTTAGTTAGTTAGTTAGTTAGTTAGTTAGTTAGTTAGTTAGTTAGTTAGTTAGTTAGTTAGTTAGTTAGTTAGTTAGTTAGTTAGTTAGTTAGTTAGTTAGTTAGTTAGTTAGTAGTTAGTTAGTTAGTTAGTTAGTTAGTTAGTTAGTTAGTTAGTTAGTTAGTTAGTTAGTTAGTTAGTTAGTTAGTTAGTTAGTTAGTTAGTTAGTTAGTTAGTTAGTTAGTTAGTTAGTTAGTTAGTTAGTTAGTTAGTTAGTTAGTTAGTTAGTTAGTTAGTTAGTTAGTTAGTAGTTAGTTAGTTAGTTAGTTAGTTAGTTAGTTAGTTAGTTAGTTAGTTAGTTAGTCCACGACTTTCGGTTCACTCTAATCTACCGGAAGCCAGTTCTTGTTAACTTATGGTTAACTCTAACTTTAGGTTAAGATATCTCGAGGAAGGAAGCAGATGTTACAGGACCTACACCTTTACTTTAAAGTCAACAGATTGAATATTTAGATAACATCACGAATTCTACAAATTAATATATTTTCGTAAAGTGTCAAATATTTGATAGATGTGAACGTACCTTAACATTTAACGAAAGACAAGTTTCAATAATCTAGTCTAAACATAACATTTCAAATTAGATCTATTTATACTAAAACTTGATATTTAATTAAAAGTAATTTTTAATAATAACTTTTTTCATTTATTTGTTTTCTTTGCAGATTTCAGACAAGTTAACATTCAAGAATGCTCTAAGCGGGGGGCACGCACTTGTTAATGTAAAAATAATTCTAGAAATATTTTAAATTTTGTTTTGATATAATTTATACATATTTAATATAATAAATTAGCATTTAAAATTTTAAATAAAAAATATGAGTTTAGCATAATTTAAACAAAAACAAATAATTTATTAAAAACTATCGCAAAATATAGAACGCAAAAACAGAAGCTGCTGCGGGTAAATCCAGATTAAAGCTAATTATACCGGTTATCATGTTGATCGCAGAGGTCTGTTTAAAATTATAATTTAGCAGATGGTCTCAATATTAATAACATTGCAAATTAAGGATTTCTCCACATATCTATTAAACGGGAAATCATTGAACTTAAACGTTCTATACCCCCTATAATGGGACGCGTTCTTTGTCCTGAGGTCGTTGGGGCCGCTGCAACTGTTGGTGGTATCGAGGTACTAGTGGTGGTTGATGTTGATAAATTTTCTTCTTTCGAGAGAAGAATACTTCCTTCTGAAGTTTTTTCTAATTTATTTAAATTCATATAATATCTTTCTTCGGATGAAGAATCAAATAGGTTATGTTCACGCAGATCTCTTAAAAGCATACCCTGTATTTGACGTGGTTTAATTATTTCATTTTCACCATCGTCATATTCTGGATCTCGGAGTAAACGTTGTAACTTTAATCTAAGATCTGAATCGGAGGGCCTAGCACAAGCTAAGGAAAATAAAGCTAGAATATAGGCGGGAAAAGTTTAATTTTTTTTTCAGATTCCTTTCCAATTTCGTTAACTTACCCATTAAAAACACACAGCTTAAACATGTCATTCTTATATAAATCATTTTACTTTCTATAAAAATTTACAACAACAATTGCGAATAATAAAACCGCACGTTTATTAATGACAAACGTAACTCTACTAAATAATATTGAAATGAGACTTTTATAAATATTAACAAAAATATTGAAATATCATGTACGTGTTATTAACAAATGCGTTAAAATTATTAAAAACTAAATTTTTATCTTAAAATCACGTTTTACAATAAATAATAAAAAATGTATTTCCTATAATTTTAACAAAATACTTAAAATCTAAATAAACTATTGTATAAAAATCTTAATATTACAACGTTTAAATAATGGTTGTGTGAAATTTTCACAAAATGTGGAAGGTAATACAAAGTGAGAAGCTGAAAATTTAACAAAAATTTAAAATATTTTTTAAAAGTTCTACCAATTAATAAATATGTACTTACTGCAGCCACAATTCATTTTATCCAAAAGACATTTATTGTGTACAACAAAGATACAATTAAGATCAGTAACACAAACTGGTTCATAAATCGGTGAGCACTTGGTATTACCCAACCACTTACAGGGTAATGTATCCTCTTCGTAATCCTGATCGTGTACATTATTTTGTGGTTTTATTGATGCAAATGTTTGTAATATCAAATCGGCATCGTAAAGTGTGTCTTTATCATATAATTCTTGAAAATTGATGTTGGGTTTCTTAATGGTATTCAAATAGTTTTGAAAACTATTTGGGGATCTATTGGTAACAAAAGCTGGAAGATGAAAGTAATATTTATTGAAAATCTTTTTGATAAAATATAATTTAAGATTTTAAATCCTACACCTCCCGTTTTAAGGTTTCAGGTTTACAAGATATCTACAAACTATAGACTGGAATATAGACCTGTCTACAGACTAGACTATACACCAAACTCTTGAATGGACTATACACCAAATTCTTAGCTAGACTATACACTAGGCCATATACTAGACTAGTCTATAATCTGAACGGTATGACAATTCCCACCAGAGGAACTGGTTCAGCGTTCATAACCCTCTACGCAGACATAACTATTCATGGGACAATATTCTGAACTAAAGTCAATAAATTCAGGAATATAGACCACACTCTATAATAGACTAGACTACAGACCAGACTACAGACCAGACTATAGACTAGACCCTAGTCTAGACCCTAGACTAGACTATAGACTAGACTATAGAATGGACTATAGACTAGACTATAGACTGTAGACTAGACTGTAGACTAGACTATAGACTAGACTATAGACTAGACTATAGACTAGACTATAGACTAAACTATAGACTAAACTATAGACTAGTCTATAGAATAGACTATAGAGTAGACAGTAGACTAGAATATAGACTAGACTATAGACTAGACTATAGACTAGACTATAGACTAGACTATAGACTAGACTATAGACTAGACTATAGACTAGACTATAGACTAGACTATAGACTAGACTATAGACTAGACTATAGACTAGACTATAGACTAGACTATAGAATAGACAATAGAGTAGACTGTAGACTAGACTAGACTATAGACTAGACTATAGGCTAGACTATAGACTAGACTATAGACCAGATTATAGATTAGACTATAGACTGGACTATAGACTAGACTATAGACTAGACCATAGACTAGACCATAGACTAGACAATAAACTAGACTATAGACTAGACTATAAACTAGACTAGAGACTAGACTGTAGACTAACTGTAGACTAGACTATAGACTAGACTACAGAATAGACTATAGACTAGACAATAGACTAAACTATAGACTAGACTATAGAATAGACAATAGAGTAGACTGTAGACTAGACTAGACTAGACTAGACTAGACTAGACTATAGACTAGACTATAGGCTGGACTATAGACTAGACTATAGGCTAGACTATAGGCTAGACTATAGGCTAGACTATAGACTAGACTATAGACTAGACTGTAGACTAGACTATAGACTAGACTGTAGACTAGGCTATAGACTAGACTATAGACTATACTATAGACTAGACTATAGACTAGACTATAGACTAGACTATAGACTAGACTATAGACTAGACTATAGACTTGACTATAGACTAGACTATAGACTAGACTATAGACTAGACTATAGACTAGACTATAGACTAGACTATAGACTAGACTATAGACTAGACTATAGACTAGACTATAGACTAGACTATAGACTAGACTATAGACTAGACTATAGACTAGACTATAGACTAGACTATAGACTAGACTATAGACTAGACTATAGACTAGACTATAGATTAGACTATAGACTAGACTATAGACTAGACTATAGACTAGACTATAGACTAGACTATAGACTAGACTATAGACTAGACTATAGACTAGACTATAGACTAGACTATAGACTAGACTATAGACTAGACTATAGACTAGACTATAGACTAGACTAGACTAGACTATAGACTAGACTATAGACTAGACTATAGACTAGACTATAGACTAGACTATAGACTAGACTATAGACTAGACTATAGACTAGACTATAGACTAGACTATAGACTAGACTATAGACTAGACTATAGACTAGACTATAGACTAGACTATAGACTAGACTATAGACTAGACTATAGACTAGACTATAGACTAGACTATAGACTAGACTATAGACTAGACTATAGACTAGACTATAGACTACTAGACTATAGACTAGACTATAGACTAGACTATAGACTAGACTATAGACTAGACTATAGACTAGACTATAGACTAGACTATAGACTAGACTATAGACTAGACTATAGACTAGACTATAGACTAGACTATAGACTAGACTATAGACTAGACTATAGACTAGACTATAGACTAGACTATAGACTAGACTATAGGCTAGACTATAGACTAGACTATAGACTAGACTACACTATAGACTACAACTATAGACTAAACTATAGACTAGACTATAGACTTGACTATAGACTAGACTAGACTATAGACGGTATTTAATAAGTAAGATTAGAAACTTGTTTAATCGATAATTTTTTTACCTCCTAAACCTACACCGATAAATAATAAAAAATATATGCTGCTAAATATATTTGACATGTTGTTGCCTTATTTTTTAAACAAATTTAACAAAATAACACTTTTCTAATACTTTAAGGTTCAAAATCTTAAAACAAACTAAACTTAAATTAGGGCCAAATTACAGCTTTTATACAAAAAGTATCTTTAAAAATTCATAGAATTATTAAAATTCTTACAAAAAAGAAAATCAAAAAGAATTAAGTGAAAGTGGGAATACTCCATGATGAGCAGGTATGTTGCGTGCATAAGTATTTTTTAAAAATGATATTTTGTTTAATTTTTGGTTTATAATAATGATTGATTAACCTTATAAACCGAAAAAATACATTTCTTATATTATCATTTAATTAGATTTTCATGACCAAAAAATATGGTCCAGCGTTCATAACCCTCTTCGCAGATATAGCTATCCATGGCACAATACTCTGCACTGAAATCAGTAAAGTCTGGAATAGAAAAAATGTAAATTTCTTATTTTAGAAATTTATAAAATTATTTACTTTTCCCCAGTTTACAGGCAGCTATATCCATATGACATTTACTGGGATATTTACGTATACAAACGTCATCTTTAGTATCTTCCAGTATACAAATTTCACTATCTGCCGTTATTGTGCAGTTGGCTTCAAGACCACATTTTATCGGTACTGCCGCGGTAATATTTTGATAAAATGTTACTGAAATTGTGTAGATTTTTTGAAGACGTAGTAATTATGTTTATTTCTATTCATAAGATATTTTTTTTACCCGCTATAAGACTTAAAAGTAAACATTTTATTATGTGTGGAAAAATCATAATAACGATTTGAATTTTTGAATAGTTCTGTTGAGAGTAATAATTTTACCCTTTTACTAATTGAACTCGAAATGAAAACTAAAGCCAAAAAAAATATTAGCCATTAGGTATGAGTACATTTTTAAAATATGGCTCAAATAGGCTTACTCAAATATTAGTACAAATGTTTTTTTTTTGTATTTAGATAAGAAAAAAATATTAAATACACTGAAAAAATATTTTCTCGAGGTTAAAACATAAATAGTATATCGATTGAAAAAACAATCAGAAATGAAAATATTTACATATCTGAGCCAAATAAAAATTTGTCTCCGTTCCGGAGTTAAATCGGTACTGGCCGTTTTATTATAATTTTGTACCAAACTAATATTTTTCCATTTTTTATTACTTTTTTCTTTAAGTGTATTTTACAAAAATACCTCAAAAATACTGTTAGATGATAATTTGTTATCATTTTGTATTTATTTAATTACGAATATGATTCTACCTAGTTCCACTCATTTGTCTAAATGCTAGACTATTTCCATTATCAGTAGCGTTGCTCCACTATAAAAACAAATTGTCGCAACAAAAACAAACACATTAACAAATTTTTGTAAATAATCAAAAGTATTCGAACGCTTGACTCAGGTGTGAAAATGAAAACAATTATTTTGAAAAAAACCCAAAGTTTTTAGTAAAAGTTGTTTGCACAAACTTTAGATATTTTAAATACTTCATAATTTAATAATTTTATAGCCTCCAAAATGAAGGCGTAATGACTTTAGTCTATAGACTAGAATATAGACTAGACTATGACTAGACTATATACTAGACTAGACTATAGACTAGACTATAGACTAGACTATAGACTAGACTATAGACTAGACTATAGACTAGACTATAGACTAGACTAGACTATAGACTAGACTATAGACTAGACTATAGACTAGACTATAGACTAGACTATAGACTAGACTATAGACTAGACTATAGACTAGACTATAGACTAGACTATAGACTAGACTATAGACTAGACTATAGACTACTATAGACTAGACTATAGACTAGACTATAGACTAGACTATAGACTAGACTAGACTATAGACTAGACTATAGACTAGACTATAGACTAGACTATAGACTAGACTATAGACTAGACTATAGACTAGACTATAGACTAGACTATAGACTAGACTATAGACTAGACTATAGACTAGACTATAGACTAGACTATAGACTAGACTATAGACTAGACTATAGACTAGACTATAGACTAGACTATAGACTATATAGACTAGACTATAGACTAGACTATAGACTAGACTATAGACTAGACTATAGACTAGACTATAGACTAGACATAGACTAGAACTATAGACTAGACTATAGCTAGACTATAGACTAACTATAGACTAGACTATAGACATACCTAGACTATAGACTAGACTATAGACTAGACTAGACTAGACTATAGACTAGACTATAGACTAGACTATAGACAGACTATAGACTAACTATAGACTAGACTATAGACTAGACCTAGACTATAGACTAGACTAATAGACTAGACTATAGACTAGACTATAGACTAGACTATAGACTAGACTATAGACTAGACTATAGACTAGACTTAATAGACTAGACTATAGACTAGACTATAGACTAGACTATAGACTAGACTATAGACTATACTATAGACTAGACTATAGACAGACTATAGACTAGACTAATGACTAGACTATAGACTAGACTATAGACTAGCTAAGACTAGACTATAGACTAGACTAGACTAGACTCTATAGACTAGAACTAATAGACTAGACTATAGACTAGACTAGACTATAGACTAGACTATAGACTAACTATAGACTAGACTATAGACTATCTATAGACTAACTATAGACTAGACTATAGACTAGACTATAGACCTAGACTATAGACTAGACAAGACCTAGACTATAGACTAGACTATAGACTAACTATAGACTAGACTATAGACTAGACTATAGACTAGACTATAGACTAGACTATAGATAACTATAGACTAGACTATAGACTAGACTATAGACTAGACTATAGACTAGACTATAGACTAGACTATAGAATAGACCTAATAGACTAGACTAATAGACTACACTATAGATAGACTAAGACGACTATAGACTAGACTATAGACTAGACTATAGACTGACTATAGACTAGACTATAGACTAGACTATAGACCTAGACTAGTAGACTAGACTATAGACTAGACTATAGACTAGACTATAGACTAGACTATAGACGACTATAGACTAGACTATAGACTAGACTATAGACTAGACTATAGACTAAGACTATAGACTAGACTATAGACTAGACATTAGACTAGACTATAGACTAGACTATAGACTAGACTATAGACTAGACTATAGACTAGACTATAGACTAGACTATAGACTAGACTAGAGACTAGACTATAGACTAGACTATAGACTAGACTATAGACTAGACTATAGACTAGACTATAGACTAAGACTATAGACTAGACTATAGACTAGAATATAGACTAGACTATAGACTAGACTATAGATAGACTACTAGACTAGACTATAGACTAGACTATAGACTAGACTATAGACTAGACTATAGACTAGACTAGACTAGACTACTAGACTATAGACTATAGACTAGACTATAGACTAGACTATAGACTAGACTATAGACTAGACTATAGACTAGACTATAGACTAGACTATAGACTAGACTATAGACTAGACTATAGACTAGACTATAGACTAGACTATAGACTAGACTATAGACTAGACTATAGACTAGACTAGAGACTAGACTATAGACTAGGACTATGACTAGACTATAGACTAGACTATAGACTAGACTATAGACTAGACTATAGACTAGACTATAGACTAGACTATAGACCTAGACTATAGACTAGACTATAGACTAGACTATAGACTAGACTATAGACTAGACTATAGACTAGACTATAGACTAGACTAGACTAGAACTATAGACTAGACTATAGACTAGACTATAAGACTAGACTATAGACTAGACTATAGAATAGACTATAGACTAGACTATAGACTAACTATAGACTAGACTATAGACTAGACTAGACTAGACTAGACTAGACTATAGACTAGACTATAGACTAGACTATAGACTAGACTATAGACTAGACTATAGACTAGACTATAGACTAGACTATAGACTAGACTATAGACTAGACTATAGACTAGACTATAGACTAGACTATAGACTAGACTATAGACTAGACTATAGACTAGACTATAGACTAGACATAGACTACTATAGACTAGACTATAGACTAGACTATAGACTAGACTATAGACTAGACTATAGACTAGACTATAGACTAGACTATAGACTAGACTATAGACTAGACTATAGACTAGACTATAGACTAGACTATAGACTAGACTATAGACTAGACTATAGACTAGACTAGACTATAGACTAGACTATAGACTAGACTATAGACTAGACTATAGACTAGACTATAGACTAGACTATAGACTAGACTATAGACTAGACTATAGACTAGACGACTATAGACTAGACTATAGACTAGACTATAGACTAGACTAGACTAGACTATAGACTAGACTATAGACTAGACTATAGACTAGACTATAGACTAGACTATAGACTAGACTATAGACTAGACTATAGACTAGACTATAGACTAGACTATAGACTAGACTATAGACTAGACTATAGACTAGACTATAGACTAGACTATAGACTAGACTATAGACTAGACTATAGACTAGACTATAGACTAGACTATAGACTAGACTATAGACTAGACTAGACTATAGACTAGACTATAGACTAGACTATAGACTAGACTATAGACTAGACTATAGACTAGACTATAGACTAGACTATAGACTAGACTATAGACTAGACTATAGACTAGACTATAGAGTAGACTATAGACTAGACTATAGACTAGACTATAGACTAGACTATAGACTAGACTATAGACTACACTATAGACTAGACTATAGACTAGACTATAGACTAGACTATAGACTAGACTATAGACTAGACTATAGACTAGACTATAGACTAGACTATAGACTACACTATAGACTAGACTATAGACTAGACTATAGACTAGACTATAGACTAGACTATAGACTAGACTACAGACTAGACTTAGACTAGACTATAGACTAGACTATAGACTAGACTATAGAATAGACTATAGACTAATACTAGACTAGACTATAGACTAGACTATAGACTAGACGATAGAATAGACTATAGAACTAGACATAGACTAGACTATAGACTAGACTATAGACTAGACTGTAGACTAGACTATAGACTAGACTATAGACTAGACTATAGACTAGACTATAGACTAGACTATAGACTAGACTAGAGACTAGACTATGACTAGACTATAGACTAGACTATAGACTAGACTATAGACTAGACTATAGACTAGACTATAGACTAGACTATAGACTAGACTATAGAGACTAGACTAATAGACTTAGACTATAGACTAGACTATAGACTAGACTATAGACTAGACTATAGACTAGACTATAGACTAGACTATAGACTAGACTATAGACTAGACTATAGACTAGACTTACTAGACTATAGACTACTATAGACTAGACTATGACTAGACTATAGACTAGACTATAGACTAGACTATAGACTAGACTATAGACTAGACTAGACTAGACTATAGACTAGACTATAGACTAGACTATAGACTAGACTATAGACTAGACTATAGACTAGACTATAGACTAGACTATAGACTAGACTATAGACTAGACTATAGACTAGACTTTTATTTATTTCTAACAAATTCAATCACTTTTAATAACGCTTCCACACAAAGGGTTAATGGCGTTTTTTATATATGCAGCGCAGATAAAATATAAAAAAAAAATGTTATAAAACAAATCTATTTAATTAAAATCAGTCTACCTATAGAAAAACATTTGAATAAACATTTAATATAAGTAAATAAACAATAACAAAGTTTTTTATTTTGCTGCTTAGGAAGGAAATAGTAAAGGGAAATCGTAATTAAACAGTAATCCCCTGATAATTATCCATTTAAATATTTCAACAAATTTTGATATCCATGATCAAGGACGAAAATAGCATTTTCAGATATTTTATGAAAAAGTTTTTCAGAAAAACTTAAAAACATATTTAAATTTAAAAAAAGTACAAATTAACTTCTTGAAAGTTAATAGATTTTAAATATTATCTTCTGATATATTTTTTAATCTATCACATTAATGAAGGGATTACTGTAAAACATTTTCCCATCCGAAAGAGATAAAATAGCAATATTAAAAATATTTAAAATATTACTCACTGAAAATTTTAATTCATTACGAATTATTAATGGCGACCAACGACAAAAAAATAATTGATAACAAATCAACATGAAACGCATTTACTACTCTTCACATATTTACAATTATTTTAAAATTTAGTTATAAACAAAAAACATAAATAAAAACAAATAATGTTCTTGTATAAATAAAATTATTAAAAAAAAAATTGTTATTAAGTTAACAACCACTCAATTGTTTACATACATTTGAACAAAAAAACATTAAACATTTTAAAGTTAAAAACACTTGCGGAACAAAAATGTTCAGTTTTTTACTTTTTTCATTATAAATGAGACCTGAAATTGTCTCAATTTTTATGAAATTCATTTAGTTCATGTAAAACATTGCTAATAACAAAATGTTGTACCAAAAAGTGCTGATAGCTGTATTTTTAATAACATTTTTCAATGGTAAGTAATAATTAAAAAGGTAAAAAAATAATAAATGAAACGTATTTTCATTTTTTAAGTTATTTTATGTGAAACTGAACAGCCAGAAGAGAATTGTGATATACCCTGCGATGAGAATGATACACTACCGGTTTGTGTCTGGGATAAAGATGAATATTGTTTCCTCTCATTGCCCTCAAAATGTGTCATGGAACGTATACAGTGTATATTTCAAAAAGGTAAATTTAAAAAAAAAATATATATTAAAAATTAATAAATATAGTTTAACTTTCTTGATTGTTCTAGATTATTTGATTTATGGTGCTACCTACTGCGACTTGGAGGGATTCAAGTGTCCCGTATTTCAATCTCCACCCTTGGAAAATGAACAGTTACACACTTATCATGAAATTCCTGCGGATAATGTTGAAGTTATTTTAAAAAATGAGAACAAAAACGATATTATTGGAATCTCGGAAGATATTGAAAATATCGTTGATCAACTAGCAAATCCAAGATAGTATTGAAAGTGAGGAAGAAAATAGTGATAATGGTAAAATGTTGTAAAATTAATATAAAAATGGAATATAGTGTTCAATATTTTATTTAAGTTTAATGAAATCTTATATGAATTCATTAAGTAAAACTTATAATAAATTTTCTTTTGTTTAAAAATAAAGCATTTCGTTTTGTCTACATTTTGTCTACAACAGAACTAGACTATAGGATAGGCTATAGACTAGACTATAGACTAGACTACAGACTAGTCTAGTCTATAGTCTAGTCTATAGTCTAGTCTATAGTCTAGTCTATAGTCTAGTCTATAGTCTAGTCTATAGTCTAGTCTATAGTCTAGTCTATAGTCTAGTCTATAGTCTAGTCTATAGTCTAGTCTATAGTCTAGCCTATAGTCTAATCTATAGTCTAGTCTATAGTCTAGTCTCTAGTCTAGTCTATAGTCTAATCTATAGTCTAGTCTATAGTCTAGTCCATAGTCTAGTCTATAGTCTAGTCTATAGTCTAGTCTATAGTCTAGTCTATAGTCTAGTCTATAGTCTAGTCTATAGTCTAGTCCAGTCTATAGTCTAATCCAGTCTATAGTCTAGTCCAGTCTATAGTCTGGTCCAGTCTATAGTCTAGTCTAGTCTATAGTCTAGTCCAGTCTATAGTCTAGTCCAGTCTATAGTCTAGTCCAGTATATAGTCTAGTCCAGTCTATAGTCTAGTCCAGTCTATAGTCTATATAGACTAGACTATAGACTAGACTATAGACTAGACTATAGACTAGACTATAGACTAGACTATAGACTAGACTATAGACTAGACTATAGACTAGACTATAGACTAGACTATAGACTAGACTATAGACTAGACTATAGACTAGACTATAGACTAGACTATAGACTAGACTATAGACTAGACTATAGGACTAGACTATAGACTAGACTATAGACTAGACTATAGACTAGACTATAGACTAGACTATAGACTAGACTATAGACTAGACTATAGACTAGACTATAGACTAGACTATAGACTAGACTATAGACTAGACTATAGACTAGACTATAGACTAGACTATAGACTAGACTATAGACTAGACTATAGACTAGACTATAGACTAGACTATAGACTAGACTATAGACTAGACTATAGACTAGACTATAGACTAGACTATAGACTAGACTATAGACTAGACTATAGACTAGACTATAGACTAGACTAGACTATAGACTAGACTATAGACTAGACTATAGACTAGACTATAGACTAGACTATAGACTAGACTATAGACTAGACTATAGACTAGACTATAGACTAGACTATAGACTAGACTATAGACTAGACTATAGACTAGACTATAGACTAGACTATAGACTAGACTATAGACTAGACTATAGACTAGACTATAGACTAGACTATAGACTAGACTATAGACTATAGACTAGACTATAGACTAGACTATAGACTAGACTATAGACTAGACTATAGACTAGACTATAGACTAGACTATAGACTAGACTATAGACTAGACTATAGACTAGACTATAGACTAGACTATAGACTAGACTATAGACTAGACTATAGACTAGACTATAGACTAGACTATAGACTAGACTATAGACTAGACTATAGACTAGACTATAGACTAGACTATAGACTAGACTATAGACTAGACTATAGACTAGACTATAGACTAACTATAACTAGACTATAGAACTAGACTATAGACTAGACTATAGACTAGACTATAGACTAGACTATAGACTAGACTATAGACTAGACTATAGACTAGACTATAGACTAGACTATAGACTAGACTATAGACTAGACTATAGACTAGACTATAGACTAGACTATAGACTAGACTATAGACTAGACTATAGACTAGACTATAGACTAGACTATAGACTAGACTAAGACTAGACTATAGACTAGACTATAGACTAGACTATAGACTAGACTATAGACTAGACTATAGACTAGACTATAGACTAGACTATAGACTAGACTATAGACTAGACTATAGACTAGACTATAGACTAGACTATAGACTAGACTATAGACTAGACTATAGACTAGACTATAGACTAGACTATAGACTAGACTATAGACTAGACTATAGACTAGACTATAGACTAGACTATAGACTAGACTATAGACTAGACTATAGACTAGACTATAGACTAGACTATAGACTAGACTATAGGACTAGACTATAGACTAGACTATAGACTAGACTATAGACTAGACTATAGACTAGACTATAGACTAGACTATAGACTAGACTATAGACTAGACTATAGACTAGACTATAGACTAGACTATAGACTAGACTATAGACTAGACTATAGACTAGACTATAGACTAGACTATAGACTAGACTATAGACTAGACTATAGACTAGACTATAGACTAGACTATAGACTAGACTATAGACTAGACTATAGACTAGACTATAGACTAGACTATAGACTAGACTATAGACTAGACTATAGACTAGACTATAGACTAGACTATAGACTAGACTATAGACTAGACTATAGACTAGACTATAGACTAGACTATAGACTAGACTATAGACTAGACTATAGACTAGACTATAGACTAGACTATAGACTAGACTATAGACTAGACTATAGACTAGACTAGACTAGACTATAGACTAGACTATAGACTAGACTATAGACTAGACTATAGACTAGACTATAGACTAGACTATAGACTAGACTATAGACTAGACTATAGACTAGACTATAGACTAGACTATAGACTAGACTATAGACTAGACTATAGACTAGACTATAGACTAGACTATAGACTAGACTATAGACTAGACTATAGACTAGACTATAGACTAGACTATAGACTAGACTATAGACTAGACTATAGACTAGACTATAGACTAGACTATAGACTAGACTATAGACTAGACTATAGACTAGACTATAGACTAGACTATAGACTAGACTATAGTCTAGACTATAGACTTTTCACAATTTCTTTTCACAATTTCTTTTCACAATTTAGAAAACTATTGTTAAATTTTTGGACAATAATTATTGTCTTTTATTTGTTGTAATTAAATATGTATATTGATCGGTAAGTACTACACATGAACATCATGTTTGGATGTGTTAAAAATTTGGAAATATTTTAACTCATGTAATTTTCAATTAAAACTATTGCTTTAAAATTATGTTTAAGATACATGCACTTTTATACTTAGTATTAGGAAGTTAATAAATTAATAACGTTAAAAACATAAATTTATAATAGTTAAAAGTAAACAGCAAAAAGGATTTGACAATTTCGTAAAGTGTAGAGAACTTCTAAAATAATAATCAGATATATAGCATTTTGATATGCTTCGGTTAATAATTTTAGATTAGAGCCATTAATGATATAGGTATCTTTAAACAAAACCGTAAAGTCCCCTTTGCTGTTAACTTGTTATTTCGAGTATTAAAATCACACCAGTGGAAGGTTAAATTATCTTTATATTTTTTCCTAACGTCTTTTCTTTTTCTCCTGTTTTCGCAATTTATGCAGACGGCGATTGTTGGGTTGAGCATCACAACCAATCGATTTAGAATCCTGTCAAGAAACAATGCAATTTAGTTAGTTTCTAATGTGATTTTATTAATACGTATTACCTCCAAAGTATCACCATCTTTTTTATTGCCCTGAGAGCTCATAAATATGGAAGCCATTATGCAGGCCAATTGGAAAAAGGCTCCAAAATACAAACTCCATCTTAAGATGGTACTGAAGACATCATCTTCAACATATTTATCCAAAGGATTTGGTGTTGTAGTCATTTTTTACGTATTTAGTTAAAGTTTTTTCGGAGTTTAGTTAATTTATTTATTTATAAATGCAAAATATATAAAAACTCAAACAATTTCAATTTATTAAATTTCACAAAATTTGTTTATTTTGATTATTACGGTATGTATTTAGCAATAAACAGAAAAATATATAGTTGTTTACAACTCCATCGTTATTTTACATGGAGTATGAAAAGATGCTACAATTCAACATAGCAGAACAATAAACACAAGTAAATTGTTTTTGCAAAATGTTCTATAGATGTCAAATTTTCCATTTGTTTTTGTTGTAAATATATTTTGAAGTTATTTTAATGAATTTTTGACAGTTCTTAGGCACAACAAACTCTTTACATCTACACCTGGCATTTATTGTTTTTCTATATTTTAGTAAGAGTTAAGAAAACAAAAAGCTTTTGTATATAATTTAAAGCATCATTGCCATATTCAAAGATATATTGATAAAAGAAATAAAACCTCTGTCTAAATTTGAAAATTAGGCATTAGATATCATAATATTAGGTAGATTAATTATCGGCTCCAAATTGAAAGTATACATTTTTTTCTTTTTCTAATTAAATTAACCTATTCCGTTAATTCCTATAAACTCTTTTTTATATACATTTTTGCAAACATCTTAGAGAAATTGGTAACTCTACTCAAACATCTGTTTAACTAAAAAAAACTTTGACATTTAACTTCGAAAAAAGAATCACAAGAATTTTTTAGCAAAAAAACTAAAAATTCTAAGAAAAATTTTAATTTTTAAGAAAAAAATTAAGTATTAATTAAATTCAATAACGCTCCTAGATATGGCTTCTTATCGCAGCATTGGTAGTTGCATGCGTCAAGTGTACTTTAGAAATTCTCGACAATTTGCCGAATTATCACGTAACCTTGGGCAGAAACGTTTATTATCAAATGCCGCCTCGCAACCAAAACGTTCGAATGGACCCAGTACTTTAAAATTGGCCGTATTGGGTACCACTTTGGGAGCCACTGGTGGCACGGTTTATTCTTTGTATTTAAATTGGAAAGATAAAAATTCTCACATGGAACATGAACGTACACCACCGGCCATTATAAATGAATTTCCCGCAAGTGTTAGAATAACCAAACGTTTTGTTAATCCCAAAGATACTTCGGGACTCGATATAACCCTCTTTCAGTTTCAAACCTGTCCATTTTGTTGTAAAGTTAGAGCTTTTCTAGATTTTATGGGCCTTTCCTACAAGGTGGTTGAGGTGGATGCCGTTTTAAGGCAGGACATTAAGTGGTCCGAAGTAAAGAAGGTGCCCATGGTCTTGATTCGCCAGCGCGATGGACGTTATGTGCAAATGAGCGATTCAAGCGCTATAATTTCATTGATTGCCACCTACTTGAATGACAAAAAGATCGATATTGGTGAATTGGCTCAATATTATCCGGCCATATCATTTTTCGATGACAATCAAAAGAAGAAACATGATATTATGAATAAATATTTCCTAATGTTCCAAGATCATACACCGAAAGGTCATACCAAGGAATTGGAGGAGTAAGTTTTAGTTTTCTTTTTACTTTAACTTGTAAAACAAAGCATATTAAATTATATCGCTCTAATAGATTGGAACGCAAATGGCGCACATGGGCTGATTCCCATCTAGTACATTTAATCTCCCCCAATTGCTATCAGTCGCTGGGAGAAGCTTTTGAAACATTTGAATGGTTCTCACAAGCCGGTGAATGGGATATACACTTTCCCAAATGGGAACGTGATCTTATGGTCTATGTTGGGGCTACCGCCATGTGGGGTATTGCTAAAATTCTTAAAAAACGTCATCAGCTAACGGATGATGTACGTTCACACATTTATGATGCCTGCAATAAGTGGACTAAGGAATTGGAAAAACGTAATACCAAATTTATGGGTGGTAAACAACCCAACTTGGCGGACTTATCAATTTATGGTGTCTTAAGCAGTATGGAGGGTTGTCAAGCCTTTAAAGATTGTGTACAAAATACAAAAATTGGCAAGTTTTATGGATAATTTTAAAAAGGTATATATTATTAATAATATTTCATTTTTAGGTGAATGGTTTTATGGTGTTAAACAATTAATACAACAAAATCGTGGTAATTTAATACGTGAACGTATTGAGGGAGAAATGCCCAACATGTTAACAGCTATTACCAACTAACTAATAAATGATTTAGACAACAAAACATATATTTATGTATATTTTAAATAGCTATAATTTTAAAACGAAATGTTTTCCAGTCATAAAGTTATGGAAAATAAAACAAACCAAAAAAAACTATTTTCTTAAAAATATATTTTGAATTTTAGATATCGTGAAATTTTTTGCTATATAAGTTTTTTATAAACAAAGTTAATTTTTTTTATTTTTTTTTCTGTACAAAACGTTATGTACGATAGGTTTCTCTATAAGCAATTTTCTAAATATGTATGTATATAATTTTATTTATTTTTCTTAACATTTTGTTTAAATTGTTGAGCTGTTTTATCTATAGACAAATTGAAGTATAAAATGCAAGTAATTTTTTATAGATTTTTTCCGTAACAGTTTTTTTCTAATTTTGTTTTACTCCAAAGCAAAAAATGTAATATTCGTTTTTAAAACGATCAAAATTTTCCAACTCTGCTGTTAACACTATGGCAACGGTAAATTTACCTCAAAACAATATTGCCACACTTGAATAAAACAGCTAAATGTCAACATATGACAACTGTCAATGTATTTTATTTTAAAGTTACCAGATTTTGATAACATTAAAATATTAAATTTCAGTAAGCATTTTGTTTACATATTTAACTAAATTTGTGTAAAAATTTGACACAAAATTACACGTTAACCACATAGATGCCAATTGATATAATATAATAACACAATTTTATTAAAATTAACCTTCCCATAATTAAACCCAAAACAAGTGGCATCTTTCTAGGTGTTATGTATATTATTCTCTTCTCTCTTTATTATCAATTGAGTGTGTGGCTGTGTGTGTTGGTGTTGGTGATTTTTCGTAATACTTTCGTAGTTTCGAATTTTCTTTCATTCCTCCAAAAAGTTGTGTTGTACCTTCTCTGGCCAAGACGATGGCGGCTACATTAGGAAGAATTTGTGGCTCTAAATTGCTTAAATCAGTACCTGCATTAAACCTGCAGCAGGTACGAAATTAAAAACAAAATTCTTTCCTCGTTAGAAGTGTTAAATCATCAAAAAATATCCACCAAAAAATGAGACCTCAAGAGATATTGTAAAAATGTGTTCAAATTTTGTGTATGAAAAAATTAATTAAATATTTATAAATTATCACAATTGGAAATATAATTCGATGGCTTAAATTAAATCCTACAAATAATTGGATAAAGTGTCAGTGCAAATGTTTAAAAATTTAATGTTATATGAAGAAAAAATTTTCCCTAACTTTAACATTATGTAACCCACCATTGAGGTTTTGTTTTTTTCTTTCGCTTGACTGTCAACTGAGCATCTCAGACATTTAATAGTTTTTCATTAAATTTGCAATTAATAAATGTTTTTTTTTTAATTTCTTTAGGCTAACAATTTGTCCACTGCCAAAACATGGACTAATGGCCAAAAGAAGGTGAGTAGTATTTTCCTTGCACACACATACATGAACGTATGCTGTAGTATTATGACCAAACGTCAACTCCGATGAACTATTTAACATACATAACCTCAATCATTTTTTTCATATTAAAGGTTATTTAAGTGTTAATAGTTTGTGTTTTTTCAATTTTAAGTTGTTTTTTTTATTAAAGAGTTTTAATAATTTTAATAAATTTGTGAAATATTTCTTTTAGTTCATTGCCACTATTGGCGCTTTAACCGGTGGTGTTGGTGCCTTGATCTACGCTATGGAGCAATCAGTTGATGCCTCCGGCACTGAAGTTCACCCACCAGCCATGCCCTGGAGCCATAATGGTTTGATTTCAGCTTTGGATCATGCCAGGTTTGTAAAAATCCCATAATTTTCTTCTTTATTGAGTGTTTTGTTTAATTTACTTTTCGTTTGACGTTTATAATTGTTAGAAGAAGTTAAGTGGGGATGGACAAATTCCATATGATTTTTTGTTTTAACAGCTCTATTGTTTACCAAACTGTATTGAGAAAATATTTTTAAATAATTTGTTTCTGATTCAATGGGTTCTAAAAAGAGCTGCTTTTTGTCAAGTTATTAGACCAATTGGAACTGTTAAATAAAAGCAACGTATATTTTGGTCTTTAATGATATGGTAACGGTTTGAAGGGCAGTAACAATTACTTTATAATAGTTGAGCAAAACATCATAGGATTCCTCTACACTTCTTTCGTGGGTATTCTTTTAGGATTACGGTTAATATGAGTTCCTGCATTTGAATCGAAATTATTATTTTCGATTTTACAAATTTTAATCGGAAAACCGAAATCTAATTTTCGCAAAAAAAAAATCAAAATTTCACCGAAAATTGGAAATTTCACTAAAAATTCAATTTCACCAAAAAACCTAAATTTCACCGAAAATTTGAATTTTCACAATAAATCGAAATTTCACTGAAAATTTGACTTTTCACCGAAAAATCTCATTTTTGTCAAAAAATCAAAATTCCACCAATGATCTAATTTTTATTAAAAACTTATTATATACTCCTTTCAAAATTAGTTTTCATAAAAAGCTTTAAAACTTTCGAAATTGTCTCGTGAACAGAATGAAGTAATGTGAATAAAAACTTCAGAATAATCTTTATCAATCAATTCATCAACATTTTATCATATTAATTCCTTTTTTAGTGTACGTCGTGGTTATGAAGTGTACAAACAGGTATGCTCTGCCTGCCATTCAATGAAATACATTGCCTATCGTAATTTAGTTGGTGTAACTCACACTGAAGCTGAAGCCAAGGCCGAAGCTGAGGGTATTATGGTAAGAAGTGTTATACACTTTCTCAATTTCATTTTATATATACAAATAAAAAAACTACTAATTTTGTTTTTCTTAGGTTCGTGATGGTCCAGATGATACTGGTAATTATTATGATCGTCCTGGTAAGTTGTCGGATTACTTCCCTTCACCCTACCCCAACGAAGAGGCTGCCCGTGCTGCCAACAATGGTGCCTATCCTCCAGATTTGAGCTACATTGTCTCAGCCCGTAAAGGTGGTGAAGATTATATCTTCTCTTTGCTCACTGGCTACTTTGATGCCCCAGCTGGTGTACAATTGCGTGAGGGACAATACTTTAACCCCTACTTCCCAGGTGGTGCTATTGGTATGGCTCAAGTCTTGTACAATGAGGTAATTACGCGTAATTAGCCTTTGAGCGAATAGTTGAATAATTTGTTTATTCCTTTTTTTTAGGTTATTGAATACGAAGACGGCACCCCAGCCACCCAAAGTCAATTGGCCAAGGATGTTGCCACTTTCCTTAAATGGACCTCAGAGCCAGAACATGATGTACGCAAGAGTATGATTGTTAAGGTCATCGGCATTATGTCTTTCTTGACCATCATCTCCTACTACATTAAGAGACACAAGTGGTCCGCTTTGAAATCAAGAAAGATCTTCTATGTACCCAAGAAAGATTAAACTAAATTACGTATAAAATATAAATAATAACAAATTTAAATAAAAAAAACGCCACACATTTCTATTTACAAACTAAAGAGTATGCAATTAGGCTCACTTAAAAACAAGAACTAGAGCCAAGCCACCACCATCACCATCATCTAACGATAATGAATGGAAATTAAATAAATGAATAATTAAACAAAAATAATGTTATTAGAAAAATGTTAAATCTAAAAGCTAAACCAAGAAAAAGTCAAACTAAATAAAAACAAAAAATTACTATTAAACGTAATTTAAAACCAAACAACAATTAAACAAATTTCAATAGTAATTTCTCATTCGTTTCTTTCTTTGTAAGAAATGTTTTTGTTTCATATTTATTTTATCCAGCCCTGCCGACCCCCAACAATTCTAACTATACTGCTTTGTTTTCATTCTTTTAAAATAAGATTAAGTTGAATTTTCTATGAAACAAAACCAAAAATTAAAAAAAAAAAAAAACAGTAACAACAAATTTAGCAACCAAAATGTTATTTATTTTAAAACGTTTTTTTAGTATTAGTTCTGTATAAGTTTATGCACATTAAAATTGTATAATTGAGTTGAAGAGTTGTTGCAGCCAATCAATTACTTCGCAAAAGAAGAAATTCAAATTGTTCGTTGTCATTTCAAGAGAGATCTAAATAAATAATAAAATGGTTATTATCATTATGAATATCTTAAATAATTTTTTGACTTATTTTCAAAGTTTCAACAATTTTTTAGTGGTAGTTTTTAGTTTGAATTTCTAAATTTATATGAAAATATTTTGTTCTTTAAAAAAGGAAAATTATCTACTGAAAATTCTTAATTTTTCCCCTAACATGACTTATTATAAAGAAATTCTTTCGAAGTTCTTTGATTTATATGGTTTTTACGAACAAATCTTATATAACTTTAAGACAAAAGGTTTTCACCAACGAAATCACATTTTATATTCGATATGAAATTCTCTCGAAATTTTAAACAACCGAAAGGTTAAAATTATTTTTATTATTATTGAAATTATTTTGAACTTTATTACCAAAGTATAACTTTATTACACAAATGCTGCCTTGATTGTATAGGGCACTTCACTAATCTTCTAGCTTCTTACTTTGGTTCTAAAGCAACAAAATAAGAATCCAAACCCAATCAAATCGAAATTTTCTCCGTTTGGCAACTTTCCTGCAAAAACATGGTAATGCCTTCTACTTACCAAACAACTCACTTTTCCATCACCATTACACTGCATCTGATGATTAGTCTGCAATTCTAACGCATAGACAAAAGACTTTTATTTAAAAATTAGTAGTCAGACATTCTGATGATGGGTGTTTTGACGATTTTTGAAGGCCCTTTGTTTTCGAATTTAATTTTTTACACAATCCCTATTCCGTATTTTGATTACGTTTTCACATTCAGTTATGTTACTGTCGAAAAAAAGTATTCCAACAAAAGACAAGTAAGAGTGTTATATTCGGCTATACCGAAACTTATATACCCATCATCAAATCACTGAAAGAGGTCCATAAAACTATATCGAATTTCATCGCTTTACTCGTTTTTCAGGCCAGTAATGAGCGTTAAAGTAATTTTCTGTTAGGGACCTTATATGCGGGACCCTATTTAAGGCCCGATCCACATACAATTTGGTGGAAAGGTTTTGGCTCCTAAGATACTTATTTATGTCAAATTTCTTCGCTATAGTCGTATTTTTACGCCAATAATGAGCGTTAAAGACATTTTCAGAAGGGGACCTTAAATGGGCAATTATAGACCGATCCACATAAAATTTCGTAGATAGATTTTGGCTCACATAAAACTTACTCCTGTGAAATTTCATCGCTGTACTCGTATTTTTAAGCCAGTAATGAGCGATAAAGTAATTTTATGGAGGGGACCTTATATGGGGGGTACGATCAATTATGGACCGATCCACATAAAATTTGTTGGAGAGATTATTACTCGTATGAAACTTACTTATGTCAAATTTCATCGTTATACTCGTATTTTTACGCCAATAATTAGCGTTAAAGTCATTTTCTGAAGGGGACCTTATATGGGGCGTAGAGCCAATTGTGGCCCTATGTACGACATAATTCAGAATTTAATTTCGGAGGTCAAAAAACTGACTTATGCGAAATTTTGTGCCATTTGCTTCATAAACAACGAATTTGTGAATGTTTGAAGCTTTTTACTCAATATTCCGGGGGTACATTTGTATGGGGGCTATGTGAAATCGTTGACCGATTTTGCCCACTTTCAATTTGTAATCAATAAAATATATTTTGGGAAAATTTCATCTCAATATCTCTTTTTTTGTGGACGCTATCGTGCCAACAACAGACAGACGGACGGACATAGCTAGATCGTCTTAGAATCTTACGAGATCCCAGAATATATATACTTTATGGGGTCTGTGAACAATATTTCGATGTGTTACACACGGAATGACAAAATCAATATACCCCCCATCTTTTTTGATGGTGGGTATAAAAACGGAACCGTAAGAAAAATAAGAAACAATTCTATTACAATGTTTTACGATTGTTTTATATTCTGCAGTTATATTATTTTAGTGACAGAGCGTCGAATCGAATTGCAAGATATCAAAGTTGCCAAAAACTCAGAAAATTTCGATTCAAATAGAAATTCAGAATAGGAATAAAAACTATTTGTAGACGCAGTGGACGTTTTTTTTTTTTATTCAAAAACATAAATACTTACTTAAATCCATATTAGCAAGGGATCGTGGTAAGGTACTTAACTATTTAGTTAACTTCCTTCCTTGTAAGCGAGCGTAGTATGTACTTGTCATGTTAAAATAATATGATCTATTCTGCATTTCGATTACGTTACCGCCTTAAGCATGATCGAAAGTTATTATACCATAAAAAAACGGAATTGTAAGAAAAAGAAGAAGCAATTCATTGTGTTTTCTGCATTACTATCGTAGCTAAGTTTTTGTATGTTGTTATTTTAGCATCGAATTAAAAGTGCAGAATATCAAAGTTGTCAAACGGAGAAAATTTCGATTCGAATTGGAATGCTGAATAAGGGTGAACGACTTAAAATGCTATTGTGTAAGAAAAATTTAGTATTTTAATCCTTTGATTTGAAATGAAAGTTTTTGCATGGTTGGTATTTTGCATTTTAAATTCGATGCTCCGTCACTAAAATAATTCTGTCTGTTCTGTAAACCGAATCCGAGTAAATTTCTCGTTTAAAAACGAGTTCTCATAATTTTTCACGTTTTAAAACCGAGTACACAAATCTAGTCGAAAGTAAATCGAATCTAATATTCTAATAAGTTAAATAATTATTTTTTGCGTTTTTAATACACTTGTAATTTAATATAAATACTATCTGAATTTTACGTTCATATAAAAATTCGGTTTGTAGAACACCAAATTCGGTTTTAAAAGCTTCTCGGTTTTAAAAACGAATCGATTTACAGAACAGACATGAATAACTTTCTAAATCGTAGCTACGATCGTATTCGAGAATTCAAAATAATCACCCTCTATTCTGCATTTCGATTACGTTAGCGCATTCAGTTACGCTAAGATCGATAATAGGTATTCCAACAAAAAACGAAATCGCAAGAAAAAGAAGAAGCAATTCCATTTCATTTGAATGCTTTACGATAGTGTGTACTCTGCTTTACGGTCGTAACTACGTTTTTATAAGTTGGTATTTTAGTGTCGAAGCTTCGATGATGGGTGTTTCGAATCGAAATGCAGAATACCAAAGTTGCCAAACGGAGAAAATTTCGATTCGAATTGAAATGTAGAATAGGGGTGATTCATTTAATTAATCGAGATTTCACAAAGATTGTTTACTGAAAAATCGAAATTTCATCAAAAATTCATAATTTTTAAAAAATCTAAATTTCATAGAATTTAAATTTCAACAAAAAAATCCAATTTTCACCAAAAAAAAAAAAAAAGAATTTTAACAAAAAAATAAAAATCGAATTTTTGCCGAAAATTCGAAATTTTCAATAAAAAATTTAATTTTCATAAAAATTGGAAAAACGTGCCTTTCTGAAAAATTTTAAAATTTACTGAAATCCGAGAATTCAAAATTTTCCCTTCACTTTTTATATAAATTTTACTTTTAACTAAAATATCAAGAATCTATTATATTGAGAACTTTTTTTTTTTTTTTTTTGGTTTTATCCAAATTATTAGCATTACGTACTAACTCTTAACTAACTCTCGCATTTAAATAGATCTCATATCACTTGTTTGTATTTTGGTAGTATGTAGTTTTAAAAGCTTTATATTTTTTATTTAAAATACATAATTTTCGTTTCGTTTTTTTTTTGGTTTTTTTTAATTTAGACTTCATTGGAAGTGATGCGAAATTAATAGTTATAATATCTTTGGAGTTGTGGTTTTTTGTTTTGTGTTTATATTTTAACTTTATTTCATTAGATGTTAAAGTTTAGAGTTGTTTAAGTTCTTTTTATTTATATTACTATTTCCTTTTTTTTTTTTTTGTTTTATTTAATTTAAGATAATAATAATTACTTTAATTAATTAATAATTACACGTACTTCTCAAGCTAAATACGCTACAAAAGAAAATAGAAGGGGGAGTTGGTTGTTGTTTTCTTTGTTTTCATAGTGAGTGTTATGTATGCATGTGTGTGTGAGTGAGTGAAGAATGTTGTTGTATTAAATATTTTGTTGTTGTTGGCTGTTGTTAAAAATTAACAACAGAAAAGACGGCTCAATATGACAGACAACGCACTAATTATGTAAACAATAGTTAGAATATAGATTAATAATTTTTTAAAAGTACAATTTATTAAATAATAAAAATGTTGATGACTTTTTCGTTTCTTATTTATTTCAGCGAAGATGTCAACCATCCATTTATCCATTCAAACATCCTCCTTTGAGTTTGAGAATGAACAATTTTAAGTTTGTTTTTTTTTTTATATATATACTTTCTCTCTAACTCTCTTTTTTCTAAATACTCCTGTGTTAGACTTCAACAAAAGAGAGTCAACATTCAAAATTTTTTTTTATATTTCTTCTTTTACGCTTATAGTGGATTTTTGTTTGTTATAAGGAGTAGTAAGTAGTAAATCTAAAGTAGCAGCATTAGGTAGAGATTGATTTGTTACGATGATGTTTGCATGTTTGAATAAAAAAAATTAAATCAGAAAAAGAAAAACATATAATATTTTATAAATAACATCATCAGCAGCATCATCATTATCATCATTACCAGAGCAAAACAAAATTATAAAAAATTAAATTAAAAATCATAATATTTTTAAAAGTTCTTTTTTAGCAGCAACATTATTTAATAATTTTAAAGCTGTTATATATTTCTTGGTTTTTGTTGTTGTTGTTTTTTCAATAATGATGTTCTCGTTTGTTGTTGTTGCTCTTATGTATCATTAAGCAATTCTTATTTATTTGAAATAATAATTGTTGCTGTTTGATAGTGCAGTTTTTATACTTTTATTTATTTGTTGTTCTGTTTTATTGTTGATGCAGTTGTTGTTGTTGTTTTCTTTATTGTTGTTGTTGACGTCATTGTAAATGCTTTGCAGTTGTGATCAACTAAAAACAGCTGCCTTCTGGTGGTTGCGCCAATTTAAGATTTTCCTTACAAGTCATAATTCGACGTATCTCCTGTAACAAGGACTTAATAGTATATTCACGATTCCATCGTGACAACATGGGTACTAGTCTTGAATCAACCTAAAATGATAAAAAATACAAAGAGCAAAGACATAAATAAAGAAACAAAATTTGATTATAAACAAACTACTTACCACACCGTTTTGATTAATACAATTAATATTAATTTTTGTTAAAAATTTTATCGTAGGAGGTTCGTCAGGATAACGTTCACCGCAATCAATCTTTAACGAGTACATTCTATTTTCAAAGGGTGTCTAAAATAACAGAAACAACAAAAAAAACGGCTCATATTTAAATTGTGTTTAAAAAAGTAAATATCGTTTTAGAAAGCCATAGTAACAATTTAAATCCTTAAACATAGTGAGAAAATTAAACGTACATATATGTATATGTGTATTCATCATTACGTCTAACTCAAGAGTAATTAAAAAATCTTTTAAAATGTTTATAATTTTTCATTAAATTTCCCAAAAATAGTTTTTTCACAGAAAATCCTTGTTTTTTACAAAAAAAATCTAAATTTTTTAATATGTATTAAATATCTTTTTACTAAAAATCTACTTACACGAGGAGGGCCAATGATCATACCGATCCAATATGTAAGAGTCATGTCATCATCATTTTCAAGGCCCCATGATATAGTACCATCGCCAACACCTTTCTGACCTTGATCTAATTCTTCCAATAAACGGAAATTTCTTGGAACCACTAGAAAAACATAAAATATATTAAAATATTAAAGAATAATAATAACAATAATCAGCAAAAACAATAATAAAACAATAAATTTTATATAAAATAAAATACTGTAATTAGTATCTCTGTATAAATATAATAAAATAAATTAAAATATCGGCATTTTTTCTAATAATTACAACAAACTATATTTGTTGATATTTTGGAAAATGCAAAATGAAACGATAGCTCAAGGGAATTGTATATTAGAGTGGTTCCTAAAAATATCAATGGAAATTTTTCTCGTTATTCTTACATTAATTTCAAATTAGCATTTTCCCTCATAATTCATTAACTATTTCATAAAAGATAATTTCTTTACAAAGTTCTATGTTATTTAATTATTGGACAGATAAAGTTAACAAATCGTCTAATGGAAGAGTCATTAGAGCAAACTCTTAAGTAATTTATATTTAATACATTTATTTATTGATTTCATACAAACGGGTAACACCCTAATGTACAATTGCATGTTTGTGTGTTTCTTATACATAGTGTTTTTATATTTTTTCGCTAATCTAATTAAATAACATTTTATTTTTAAAATATTTCATTTAAAATGTATTAGAAATTCCAAAGTTAAATAATACATATTAATATAGAAATTGCAGGTCGGTCGTTTGCTAATGACATGACAAATATGTATGCATATAAAACTAATAAGATTTTAATTATTACCTAGATTCTTATTCGACTTAAACCTTCCTTCAAAAGGATTCTAATCCAATAGAAGGAATGTTTAAGATGACATTTTTCGGGAACAATGCAGCTTGAAACATGATTTAAAATATAGATAGATATAAAATATATTTATAGCCATGGCTTGAAAATTCGATTGACAATATGTATTCATAAATATCGATTACGATTAGTAAACAAATATTTTTTCTAAAAGGATCAGTAATCTTTAATTAAAAACCAAGCTATAAACGTTGTGTATTTTTCAAAGCACGGAACTATAAAGGGAAAATATCAACCATTCGGAATGGAAATGTGGTAATAGACCCTTACAGACATGTTATAAGACCTTCCCTACTCTATATCTATCTACAAAATATTTTTTATACCATGATCTATCTATCTATCTATGCGAGAGAGCGAGCGAGCGAGCGAGGAGCGAGCGAGCGAGCGAGCGAGCGAGCGACGAGCGAGCGAGCGCGAGCAGCGAGCGAGCGAGCGAGCGAGCGAGCGAGCGAGCGAGCGAGCGAGCGAGAGAGCGAGCGAGCGAGAGAGCGAGCGAGCGAGCGAGCGAGCGAGCGAGCGAGCGAGAGAGCGAGCGAGCGAGGAGCGAGCGAGCGAGCGAGCGAGCGAGCGAGCGAGCGAGCGAGAGAGCGAGCGAGCGAGCGAGCGAGCGAGCGAGCGAGCGAGCGAGCGAGCGAGCGAGCGAGCGAGCGAGCGAGCGAGCGAGCGAGCGAGCGAGCGAGAGAGCGAGCGAGCGAGCGAGAGCGAGCAGCGAGCGAGCGAGCGAGCGAGCGAGCGAGCTAGCGATCGACGAGCTACTAGCTATCGAGCGATCATCTAGCGAGCTATCGATCTATCTATATATCTATCTATCTATCTATCTATCTATATACTATCTATCTATCTATATTATCTATCTATGTATCTATCTATCTATCTATCTATCTATCTATCTATCTATCTATCTATCTATCTATCTATCTATCTATCTATCTATCTATCTATCTATCTATCTATCTATCTATCTATTTATCTATCTATCTATGTATTCCAAATAATATAGCAGTGGCTGACTTCACTGATAATCATTGGCCAATTGAAGATCGAATTGCAGTGAATACGTAATTTGAGTGTTTTTATGCAGCATTGTTATTGTCCTATGGAATTTTAAGATTTTAGAGATTTCTACCAAAGCGCTAAACCGATTGCTTTGGTATTTCAACAATATTTACATTATTCTGACGAGACTACATATCACTTATCTACTTCAAAATATAAAAAGACAGTCAGAATACAAACGATTATTAACTCCTTACCTCCGCCCCCTAAAAAAATGAATGCTCCTAGCACCTATTCTAAAAAAAATAAAACATTATTGATTAACACCAAAACTCAAATTATTAGTTATGGAATCCACATTTGTCACATCAAATTCAAAAAAGAAAAATTCACAAAACAAAAAAATGTAAAAAATATTATTAGCAGGACGCCAATAAAGTATCAAGTTGGAAAATGACTAGTCATAGTTTTATTCTGTTTTGCCAAGACTCAGGCGCATATGCAGTTTTAAACATGACATGAAAATAAAATAGAAAATACTCATTTTATATGTTAAATTTAACAAAATACATTATTATTTCCAGTTAAAACACTTTATGGAAAATAGTATTTATTCTTTTAATTTAATTTTCTTTTAACATTTTCCACTTCTTTATCATCCTATAATACATCATATTCATATACCAATTATACTGCAGTGACTATTACACTTTCACGTTTTTTTTTTCTACCATTTTTTGCGAAAAAACACAGCTATTTTTTTCTTCACAAATTAATCACCTAGAGATTTGTTTCCTTTGTTTATTATCCATGTTTAATGAAAGTCACTAGCATGTTTATGATTTTTTTGCAACTTATAATGTATTTTTTCTTATTAATTAAATATTTTTAATGAAATAAATTCTTACCAACACCGGTGGATTGATTCGCCATTTTTCACTCTTCACAGCAATCTACACACATTCACAAGAAGATAACTTCTTCTTCAATTTTATTCTCACTTATTTCTTATTCGTCTTAAATATATATATCGATCTCTTTTTTGCACGTTTATATTACTTATAGGGCGTTTTTTGTTGCTACTTCTTTTGTTTCTTTCACGTCGTATTATTTTTTCCGGTCTTCTTCTTGTTCTTTGCCTTTTTTAGCTGTTCGATTTTTCTATGAAAATGAGAAATTAATATTTTTATCGTTAAAACACTTTTTGCAAATTAATACATGATTTTATTTTACTACTGGAAAGATAAAAATATATTTTAGAGGAATTATTGTGTTTTAAGTATATGAAAGATTTCTAGGTGTTAAAAATTTATGATTTTACTGCAAAGTTTTGCTGAAGTTCTTTTTTCCAACCAATTCGAAAATTCGCGAATTAAGTTGTCTGTCATTGCATTTGACAAAACAACAAAAATATAATTTCGAACGTAACACTGATGGTAATAGAATTATTAAAAATCTCCAAACTGTAAATAAAAATCGCTATAAAAGTCACTCATGTACTTAATTTTTGTCAGTTAAAATGACCGCTAAATATTGAAAAAATAATTTTATAGTTGTTTTTTTCTTCTTTCATATAAAGAAGATAATCTTTTATATGTATATAACATTTTAGCGTTACTAACTGATTCATTGGAAACAGTCGTAAACATATTTCCAGATTTCTCTCATCTAACCCATATAAATTTATCAAGAATATACATGTTTTATACCTATTTGTTATGAAACCATAACAGCAACCATTCTTTTGCTTGACAATATTGTTTGCAACCAACATTAATATACATAATTTTTATTTAGAAAATATTTTTCGATCAAACGATTTGTGTTTGAAATCAAATATTATTCTCGGATAGATTTTTTTTTGCAAATAATAAATACCTTATACATATTTTCTAATTATAAATTACATTAAAATGTCATTTAAATCCTTGTTAGTATTGGAGAAACCTCTGCAACATTTAGCCCTATCGGATTGGCATAATCGTGTCAACACTTTGAGAAATGTAGCCGATGCTAGACGTGATGATGCCTTCGAAATTCGTCATAGCTCCAGAACGTTAAGAAATGAGACACGCATAGAGGGTGATTGGACAAATTATGAAACCAATGAAGCATTAGATAATCGGTAAATATAAAATTATTCCCTTATACAAGAACGCGTGAAACATTATCTTAAATAAATCAAAACTTTGGTTGGATTTTATAAAATATGTCTAAAAATTATCTTTATTATTATATTTAAAGAATTTCTGAACTAAATCGTTGGAGAGAAGTTATTTCAAAAACTCTAGAACGCATCGAACGTGAAATGAAATTACTGAGAGAAGAAAAAGCCTCAACCGAACGAGAGCTAGAAGCAATGCAAACGCCTCTATCGGTTATAGGCGAATGTTTAAACATGCGCGATTGTCGTTTAGGCTCCGAAATGACTTATGATGATGCTGATACTGAAATTAAAAATGAATTGACTGTGGTGGAGAATAATCAACGTTTACTTGCCGATCAGTGTCAAAAAGCATGGGAGAAGTTGTGTCGTCTGGAGGAAGTTAAATTCAAATTAAATTTGGAAATCGATAATAAAAGCGAGGCAGAAGGTATAGATATGTCGCAGTCATCTCTAAATAAATTTGCGGCCAATATTAGCTATAAAACCGAAGCCACAAGGAATCCTAAAAAGTAGCTCAATAGCATGAATATTGAATATATGTACATATATATATATATATTTCTTATAATTTTAATCTATTCTAGTTCGTGTTCATATCAGTCCTGGCTAGATCACACTAGAAATATGAAACAACTTGCTGAAAATGAATTGGCCGATACGTACGCCATAAGGGAAGCCTTGTTCGTATGTCGAGAAAAGGCAAACAATATGCTGAAATCTCAGCAGGAAAGAACTGAACACACTATTCGTAAACGTATATTCGAGACACAGAAAGCTCGCAATGAACTGGAGTGGCAACAACTAAAGGTATGCAAAAAATTCCAATAATTTATAATAATAGAACAACCATATTTTACCATGGAGATATGAATGCACATATATTTTTTTAAAAGGGATATTTTTTAAAATTTTCGATGATAATAATTCATTGTAAACCTCCCATTGCTAAAATTCAATGAAAACTCACTTTAATTTCCATTACAGATGAAAGAAGAAATGGAAAAGGCCATATGTGAAATTAAAACCCTAGAACAGGCTTTGCGTGATAAAACAGATGGTTTGAAATTAGCCGAAACTCGTTTAGAAAATAGAGCTCAACGTTCCGGCATGGAGCTCTGTTTAGATGAGGCACACGATCAACTTTGTTTTGAGGTACAAAAGATACGTGAGATACGTCGTCGTCTAAACGATAAAATCGAAGAGGCCAAAACTAATTACAATCTATTGGAAGAGCATGCACAGAAAATCAATGTTGATTTGGAGAACAAACAACACTCGCTGATGACAGATATAAGAGCGTTAGATTTGCGTCAACGTTTAAAGGGTGGGGAATTTGGTCAAACTAATCCGTTAGCAGCAGGACAAACCGAAAGAAATATTGTTTTAACTAAAATGGAAAAAGAGATTCCAAAAAATTAAACTATCTTACACAAATAAAAGAGAATTTGAAAATAAAACATTATTGAACAACAAAAATAGATTGCAGTTTTACCGTCGTTGCAGATTTACCACAGTTGCCGAATTTTTTGTCAGAAGAAAGTCATTATTGAGCTACAAAAACGGATTGCATTGTTTGATGTTATAACATACTATAGCCGTGGGTTATTCTCTAAAGGAAAATGTATGTTGTATATCGGTGTGTTTAGTAGTGTACATCCTTATTATGTCATAAGTTGTGTAAGATTTAGTTTTATTTCTTGCTTAATTCCTGAGAAAGTTTTAGAAGTTAAACCTTAACTTCAAAATTAAAATCTAATTGACCCAACTTCGGCTTAAAATCTACTTTCCATTGAACTATGCTTTTACCATTTTCTACATTTTGGGCTTTGCCTATTAAATGAACACCTTGACGTCCAAACATATCCCATTTTATAAATTTACCCGTTTCTATTGGTTCCATAGGTCCAGAGCTTACAATCGATTTTGTTCTTGAAGTATTATCCAGAAGCCAATCTACCCACAAAGCAATACCATTACAACTTGCCGAACTATAAAGTAAAATGAAAAAATATTAAAAAATATTACTACTGAAATCGGGAACTTACTATTCGATTGAAATGTCTCCATATGTTGATTGGTCTTGATTGAAATTTCTAAATTCAACTTGTAACAATTGTTGCGGTGGTGCTAAAGCTCTGCAAGGATATTCCCACAAAGGTTGGGCTTCAACTTTAGACTGGGCTATAGAGGTGGAACTCTAAAAAAATATTTACTAATATGATTTAAAAAACTAGTATATGAGTTAGGACTTACCTCTACCATTTTGTCGAAGAGTTTAAGATTGAAACCCTCACATTCCTTGAGAGGAGTTCTTATTTTATGTAGATCTAAAAACTCTACTGGTACACAATAAATACGTGCACCAAATGGAGATACTTCTGCTTTCTCCGATAGTTTTTCTATAATTTTCATTAACAAAGTGCCAAAGTAAAAATTATCCCATGGTAGTATGGAGGTCAAGAAATAGGGCTCCGCAAAAATATGAGTTATATTTTGTAAATTAGCTTCACTTAGATCATCTAATTTTTCTAAAAACTCTACATTAGTTAGATTATTAAACTTTGCTACAGAATCCATAAAATATCTTGAATAGCGATGAGGTTCATGACACCACACCTTGGACGCTTTTAAGCGTTCAGAGGCTAAGCCCAAAATACAACCATCACCGAGTAGCAAAACTTGTGAATCGGGTTTTATATGCTCCTCTAAATAGTTCAAATAACGCTTATTACGTGGACTTTGATTCATTTGTCCAATGCGCGAACGACCATAGGTCATATGTAGAGAACAGGTGCAGCTGTGGCGGGGAACAGATTTTTTGAGATTTTCATCAGACTTCTTAAATACATCAAACCATAAGGAGTACTCGTCATGATTACAATTCAATATGAATTCTTCGCCTACATTGGCAATATTCAGGGGTTTGGGTATATAATATATAGCTTGCATCCAATGATCTCGCCAGGGTATAACGTTAGCTAAGGGTTTAGCTGGATAGTTGTCGGTGGCCAATTGCTTAAACTCTGGATGTGCCCAAAATGGGGCACAGCTCAGTTTTATTTCTTCTTCAAGGTCCATACTGATGTCCCACCAATAAAATACTAAATCTGTGGAGCCAACACTTGTTGCTTTTAGAATGTGATTATGTTCTCTTTCCAACTCTCGGAATTGTTTACGATTGAAGTCAAATTCAAAAATTTCAAAAGGCTCGGCAATAGGACGAAATTGTTCTAGCGGTAATTGGGAAAGTTGAACATCGTGTAGATTTGCTTCACCCTGACAATTTGCTATATCTTTGGGTGGATTTAAAAGTATATCACCATCCAAATTGGCTAAGATCTTTAGAGAATTCCATTGAGCTGCCAAGGGTGATTGCACCACCTGAGCATAACAGGTGGCCTTAGAAGGTATACATATAACATCATCAGTTAATAAATGATCATGAGCGTGATTGTAAATACCTATAGCACCTTCCCCTATTAATTCGGTATCAAGGACTTCGGTTACTAAAACATTTGCTTTTCGTGGCATATCTTCACCCACAATTATATCCGTGGATCTCTTCTTAATCAAAGTAATTTTATCTTTTACCTTATTAGCTTCTAAAATTTGTTCGGCACAATTCGCCATGGGTATAAAAGCCTCACATGCGGTCACCGAATCAGCACCAGAAGCCACAGCCATCATTGAAAGTATTCCAGTTCCCGTGCCAATATCTAAAACATGCGCCTCTTTACCTTGTCTGTGGAGTTTTTCTATTGTTTTACGTAAGGCAGCATAATATTTTTGATTTCTTTCTTTATCGTGTAGCATATCACCAAAACCGGCATTTGCCACTTCCTGATGATAGTCATAAGAATCTTCTTGGGAGGCCCATTCATTTTGACCCGTTATGGGGTTAAGCACTTGAGTAAATACTGCCATTTGTCTTTTTATGTTAAAAATATTTAATTTAAAAGTTTTCACGTATTTTAACAGCATAAAATAATTATTTTGTAAAATATAAAAACAATGTATGAAAAACGCGTTTTCTCATTAAAAAAAATTAATAACAAACAATTCATAATAGCAATATACTATGGTGAATTGATTATTTTTATTTTGACATGACAGTATTGCCGTATTTAAAAAGGCTTTAGTTTATATTTTCTATAGTATTGTCATTACTGGTTATTTTTGACATTTGATAACAGAAACACTTTGTAAACAAATGAAGTTATTGAAATTTTGTATTTTTTAATTTTTGCTAACAATTAAACAAATTATCTAATTTTGCTTGTGTTTTTAATAATTTAAATATGATGGAGGTATCTAGCAGTAGTGATGAAATGTATATAATAGAACAATCTAAAAAATTGCGCTCAACAGATCCTTGTTCGGCAAAATCTTGGATTATTACAGCAAAAACCTTATTTCCAAATAATTTTAATGTACAAGTAAGTTTGTAATTAATGTTATTTTTCTCAACCAGAATTGTTAATGTAGTTCTTGAATTAAACTACTTTTTATAAAAATCATTAACTACAAAAGTTTTTATGAATTTATAATACTTTCAGTTTGAGGCTTATCGCTTGGAGAAAGATGCTAACAACTGCGAAGAAGCCGCAAAATGTTTTAGTTACATGTAAGTTATATACACTTTCCTTCCGGCTATATGTAGTTTATTAAATTTTCCCTTTTTATAGCATTCTAACATTTCAGAATCAAAATGTAGAACTATGGGAAGAAGTTAATGAGCTAACAAATGCTTTAAGGGCTCCCGAAAATGAGATCACCCCACAACAAGAATTTTATGTTAAAATGTTTCAACATGTTTCCTATGATGTCCAGCATAAAATATTAATGTTAACCGTTAATCATACAGAAAATAGTTTAAATCAATGTAAACTATTGTTATTGGTATTAAAACGATTCCCACAGGCGGCCGTAACACATTCGGTAAGTTTTTCATGTAATTTTTTCTTGACCTATCTGTACGTTATTATTTTTACAGCCACGTCTCTTGGAAATGATAGCGGATGGCATGAAACAAAATCCTCAAAAATATCAGGAAATGTTGGTGGAGGAAGCATTGCCTTTAATCTATCATAAAACACCAGAATTACCAGCCGGTTTAGTGTGTCGTTTGTTTACTATATCTTTGGAATATTACATCAGGCAAATTATAGATGAAACAAAATGTGATACCACCGAGGTATGGAAGAAAATCTTTCAAGTTTTAATGCTCTGTGGCAAGATACAACGTTGGGAAACGTTTTTGCCCTTTAATAAAACCTGGTAAGCTTAAGACACCAATATTTTTTTCAAATTTCTTTATAATAAATTTTACAAAGGGGTCAAAATGTTTATTGGGATAAACTTATCGAGATAGTATCAACAAGCGCCGCTGGCAGTACACAAGTATTATTTTATGCTACAACACTTTTTATATACTCTCTACATTGTTACATTAAAAACTGCAATACACGGCCCGAGGATATGGAAATCAATCATGTGTTAGTTGAGGGTTTCACCGATTGGAAATTAGAACGTACCGATGCTCAGAGTATGGAACCACCACGCATATCATTGACCACACCGACAAGTAAAGATATTTCTAAAGCCTTTGTACATGCGGCTCAATGTTGGCAACTGTTAAATACCGAACAATTTCAACGAGACTTTAGTAAACTTCTTTTAACATTACCCTTGTCACCGTGGATTTCTAGATTTCTATTTGATTTGGCCATATATTTTGGCCATCAGGAGGAGGCGAAAAAACTTATGTCTGAAATGACTATAAAAAGTAGTTTGGTGCATCATATTTTAAAATTAAGTTTGAATTTGTTGCAGGGTAAATTAAAAGTAAGTGAAAATGATTAAAAAAGTTTTAATAAAAAACATTATTATTATTTTTTTGTTTTAGTACGAAGGCTTTGAGTGCATTTTAAAAGTTATTAACGATTTACCTCCTAGCCAAGGTCAAGTTTTGGAACAATTAACCCTAAAGGTACCCCGACACATGATATTTATACCTTTAACCCAGAAAGCTTTAGTGCAATACTGTACCAAAGCCATAGTAACAAATTTAAGTGTAAGTAGTTTATAAAAAAGTAGTTTATACTAACATTTTTATCAAAACATTGTACTTTTAGCGCAAGCTCTATGAACCCAATTGTCCCGACGATATTTTGGGCGATCTTTTGATTCTACTTCAGCTAGAATATCCCCGTGAAAAAGAAATTGCTGAGCAAATATTTTCCATAATAACCAATCGACGTTCTTTCATATTTCACAATTTCTCGGCATTTTTGATAAACATTGATTTCATTGAGGAATTCATGTACATATGGCATTCGCACAATGAGGACTTCAATTTTGATTTCACCGCCAACAATGTGCCGTCAAATGGTGGCGCAGGAGCGGCTGGTGCACGCACTCGTACTCGTGGTTCGGATAAGGGTGTAAGGGAGGACTTTCGCTTGATTATAAAACAACAAATAGCACGTTCAAATGAAAATGTCACAGCGTTGATAGCGAGTTTTATTAGCCAAGAACATTTGCGTCTAATGCATTATTTATTTGATGTAGAAGTTGGCCAGTTTTAATGTACTTTTTTTAATATACAATATTTTTAGTTCTTCTTAATAAATAATAATAAAATTATTAAGTTTACAGTGAAAAACAAATACATAGCTTTATTTCAAGTCCTTACATATGAAATACATTTTAGATAACCTCTTAGAATGTATAGTTGTTGGTTGCACTATCGTTTTTGCATTAGCTTAAATTTTAAGTTTAGTTTTAAAATATTTGTTGAATCTTATTTTTTATTTGCAGTAGTTTCTGAATTAATTCAATTGTCAAATATGTTCAAGTTATTTTCAAAATCTTTAGTAAAATGATAGACCAATTTAAATGAAATTCATAAGGTCTAAGATGCACAGACATCGCTAAATCGTTAAGTTACTAAACTTTTTCTTATATAAACGCAATAAAATAAAAGCTTACTTTTAAACGTATATATGTATGTATATATTGTTACATTTTAGAGATAACAATCTAATAAGTATGATTAAAAATGATTTTCTAGACAGTTTGATAATTTATACAAAGATTAATTTCATAATTTAATCGCACTACACTTGTACATTGTAATCATGCTTTACATACGACATAAATATATTATACAAAGCCGTACATACATTAACAAATGTAACACGATATTTCGTTTCTAAATAACGAAAATTTATATACTGAGCACCAGGCCATAGCATCCAATCTATAAGATAGATAAAAAGAAATTTCTCCTTAAGCTCATCGTTGGTTTCCTTAAAGGTTTTGCGCTCTAGGAAACAAGCCGAATAGAAAAATATAAATATACAAGCCGGAGACATTATTAATTCATCTATTAAGATTTTTTTCATAACATTTTTAAAATTTGCCACTGGCATTACTTTATCCATCCAATTATAAACGTAATGATGCAGAGGTCCTTGCAAGGCACCCACTATAAACATACGTCCAATACGCTGCCAATCATAACGTTGCGCATTTGGTAGTCCACGTCTAAATTCAATCTCTTGGGCCATAACATCACCAAAAACCATTAGAACACCAGAACCAATAATATTGGTCATTAGTAAGTATTTTCCAAAGATATTCTTCCATAATCTGCGTATTGCTATAAATTTTGTTGGTTTAGTAATTGGATTATTTGTATTATTGTTGCTGCTGTTGTGTTTGATTCTATAGATTTGTAACTGAACAGTTTGTGGGGATGATATATTTGAGGGGTGTGTTGTTGTTGCTTTAAATAGGTAAGAATTCTCAGCCAGCTGTTTTCTTATATTTTGCGTTGTTTTGTGGTGAAATTGACAATAACTTCTGGAAATCGTCGTTTGACGCAATATTAAAGTTGTGTAATTTGTAGCTTTACTTATAGCAAACATTATGTTTGTTTTTAATTAATTATAAATTCACTTTAATTGTATTTACTTTAATAACTTAACGCTAATTTTGTACGTTCTTTTACTTCTAACCACAGACATTATTTACACCTGACAACTTTTTTGTTTTTGCTCATGAGAACATTGCCACACTTTATTTTTTGCCTCACTGACATTGATGGTCAACCTCAATTAAGGCTACAAGCGATAAAGCGTTTTGTTGATTGTATATTAATATTTTATGAAATTATGCAAATTTAAAACAAGATTGTAAAAAAAAGTGATTTTATGAAAGAGGGGTTATACGGGGGCAAGGATATACATATATGGACACACCCTTATAAATTTTAATAGAGGAATTTACTTTTACAATAATGTTATTTATGCAGAATTTCATCGTTATATTAGTGTTTATAAGTGAATTTTTATCTTCAAGTTATCGTCAAGTAATAGACCGACCAATAGGCTTCGACCTTGTATCATAAAACTTTCTTTCAAACTAACTTACTAACTAACGACTAGACGGACACCAGACCAACGATTCCGTGTTGATAGGTATACTTTAAAATAGATGTTGAACCAAAAGGTTTTTTTCTTTAAAAATAATTTGTTTAGAGGACATTTTATACGGAATTTAATACGACAGCAATGAATCCTAAATATTTAAATTTATAAAGAGAATAACAGCACTTTCAATTTCACGGTAATACGATTTGATACCGCAGAATTATTCAAGTAATTACTGCCTGTATTTATTGATAAAACACTATGGATTAATTTAATTAGCAAACTCTTGCCTTTGTCCGGGTACCGTGTTTTATTTTAATTGCGACATCAAGTTTTTACTTAAATACATTTTATATGAGCTTTGTATTTAACTAATATGTTATATTTAATGGAAATGAAATTATCTTACAGTAAGAGAACATGTCTTAGTTTAATTAGCTGTTTCACAAGCGTCCACCCAATCATTGTAAACGTCTAAAGGTTCCGATAGGAAATTAATTGTTGTTTGATAATCCTCGAGGCAAACACGACAACTTATACGCGCCGCATTGTGACCTTTATCCATTTTAACTTCACAGGACTTTTCGTGATTACAGAAAGGGCAATTAAACTGTTGATCTAAAGGTTCAATATTTTTACGTTTTGGCGGTGGCTTTCTCTTTGATTTACGTCTTCCCATTTTGAAACTAGAACAAAAAATGTCAAATATGTTTAGTTAGTTAGCTGCGGCAAGCTGTGACTGCTTGGGTAAGCAAATAACAAATAAATGTAGATTTCAAATGGCATTAGTTTGTAAATAAAGTATTATTAAATTTCCTAATGATTTCCCATTTTATTGTTTAAAAACTTACACTTTATGTCGAGGTTTTCAATAAAATATATTAACACTGTTTTTCTTCTAGAAAAAAATATTTGTTTTTAATATTTTTTAAAACATGGCGTCTTACAAGTGATGTCTATATAATGTTAAATTGTTAAATAATTCTAGCGATTTTTACATAAGTACATTTAAAATAGTGTCTAGACGTAATAAACGTAATAAAATATATGATTTTATATTAATACAATATATTGCACGGAAATGTATTGTAATCTGGAACCCAAATGATATGTTTTCTTAGATTTGCGAAAACCTCTTTTAAGGTATTTTCAGTGATCTTACTCGTTTTTAATATTCGAATTTTCGGACAAATCCTGTCATTTAATTTTGATATAACGACAATAAAGTTAATTTTCTTTAAATTTAAAATACAAAATTACAGTTGGAAATTTATTTACCCCGTGTCTATATTAGCAGAAAAATTGTCAGTTTTTAGTTTATGTTAATGCATAGGAGTAACAAAATGCTGATTTTATCACGACAACTCACAGATAATTTTACTGAAATAATGCTATATTTTACAGAAACAATTGAAATTAAATGCAAATTTTGTAAATAAACACTAAACTCACTAAAACTTATGTTAAAAATCAATTTAATTGCACAAAAAGAAAATTCTATACAAATTTGAATTTAGTTTTTCAAAAATCAACTAGTTATTAAATTGGTGTGAATGGTATTTTGTGATATTTTATTACCGTTAATAAGCATTTCATTCACCAGCCCTGACCTAAAACAAGATACAATAAAGTGCTGTCAAGTTTCTTGAAGACATAAGCGTCATTTTATCGATGACGTCATATAAATAATCATACAACAACAAGCCGGCCAGTTTTTTATTTTTGTTTTTTAGTTCACAATTAATAGCAAAGAATATTTTACTTATATATATTTTGTTTATTTTTAGCTTATTTGTGTGACCAAAAAGCCTTAACGCATAACATAATTTATTTAAAGGCATTTTAGAGAAAAAGTGAATTTTTTTATTTTGTTTTTGACAAAAACGTGGCGCATTTTTAAAATAAACTAGTTTTCTTATTGTAAAAAAAAGTAAACTATAACACACAGTGTTCTTGCTAGTTGGTGTTGTAAAAAATATTTATTAAATAATCTAGATTTCTATGAATAAAAGTTGAAAAGATGAATCTATTAGTGGTATTTTTGCTATTATTTGCTGTGCGTTTGGCTTCAGTGTTTGTGGTGAAAACATTTTATGTGCCCGATGAATATTGGCAGAGTTTAGAAGTGGCGCATAAATTAACCTTTGGGTACGAAAACAACAATTTAATGTCATAAGATAAAATCATGTTTATACATTACTTTTTTATTATAGTTATGGTTACTTGACCTGGGAATGGCTGCAGGGTATACGCTGTTATGTGTATCCTCTTATTATAGCTGGTGTCTATAAACTATTGGCCATATTTAGTTGGGATACGGCCCAATTACTGATTTTAATACCACGCATTCTACAAGCCACCTTGTCTGCCTATTCAGATTATCGTTTCTTTGTTTGGTCGGGCAAAAAGAAATGGGCTCTATTCCTTATAATAGTGCCCTGGTTCTGGTTCTATACCGGTTCACGTACTTTGTCCAACACTTTGGAAACCTCATTAACAACAATAGCTTTAAGTTATTTCCCTTGGTATGGAGAGGGTGTTGCTTATTTATGGCCCGCTGCTTTATGTTGTTTCTTGAGACCAACTGCTGCACTTATTTGGTTGCCTTTGGTAGTTTATCATTTGCGTAAATCAAAATTATCCTGGACTGAATTAATCTTTAAACGTTACTTGATTATTGGGTAAGTCGAAATTGACTTTATAGGTATAATAAATAATTTATAATTTGATTATAATTTTAGTTCAATTGTGGCTGCTGTTTGTATTGGCATTGATTCGTATATGCATGGAGAACTTTTAATAACTCCCTATGAGTTTTTAAAATATAATATTTTCCATAATATAGGCAGTTTCTATGGATCTCATCCTTGGTAAGTTGAGAAATCAAAAAATAGTATTTTTAGTAAAGTAATTAAAAAACTTTTTAAATTTATAGGTATTGGTACTTTACTGTTGGTTTACCCACTGTTTTGGGTATAAATTTCTTGCCATTCCTTTTTGGCATCATGGAGACAGTACGTCATCGTGAGGTATATCCTGTACGCAAGTATTTACTTATAACTATTTTACTTTCTCTCTGTGCCCTAAGTGCAATTGAACATAAAGAATTTAGATTTGTAAGTGTTTTACTGCCTTTATGTTTGTACATTACGGCCGATACCTTGACCAGATGGAGTTACAAGGCTTCTAGGTAATTGCCGAATATTATAATAGATTTTATTGTGTTATTCTTAAATATTAATAATTTATTTTGTTTAGATTATCATTATGGTTTATAGCGGGCGTCATTGTTATGGGCAATGCCTTACCGGCCTGGTATTTAAGTACCATTCATCAAAGAGGCCCCTTGGAGGTAATGGATAGATTACAGGATATAGCCAAGGATTATCGTGATGAACAAAAGCATCCAGCTAGTATATTGTTTTGATGCCTTGTCATTCGACTCCCTACTATAGGTACAATATGAAATTAAAAAAAAAAATGCTTAAAACTTTTATAATTATATTCTTATTATTTATAATTCCTCTTAGTCACATACATCAAAATGTTACCATGCGCTTCCTTACTTGTCAACCAAATCTAAAGCAACAAAACAACTACAAGGACGAGGCTGATCAATTCTATGATTCACCCGTACACTGGTTGCGTTCACACATCCCTTCATATCCACGCACAGCGAAACCCTCACATGTTGTGTTGTATGAACCATTAGCTCAAAAAATCAATGAATTCCTGGTGGACTATAAACTCTTGCATAGGATAGCCAATGCAGAGGTAAATCCTAATGTTGAACCCCAATTAGTCCTTAATGAATGGTCCCGCCTCATTAAGGAGAAACAGATAAATGTTGACTCTCTTTTACAGCATGTACAGACAAGAACTGGTAAAAATATACTCGTTTTTCAACGTTTACGCACGGGAGAAGAGAATACCTTTAATCGTGAAGAATTTCAAAGTCACGATGAAGAGACCTTAAATCTAGCCAAACTAGCTGAATCTAATGAAGATATACTTTATGGCCAAGATGAATTTACCACCGAAACTAATATGTTCAATTGATTTAAAGTTTCTTCTTTAAATACCTCACTCCACCTCTCAACTACGCTTAACTACGAACTTAAAACTAGTTGCTTGTTTCAATTACCAAAAGGCTTTTTTATTTTTATCCATCTGGTACAAAGATCAAAATAATTATTTTTTAATAATTTGTGTAGGCTATTATATTTTTAAACATAGTTTACTATTTTAATTTTAAATGTGTGCGTTTAAATTTTTGTGTTAATTTATTTTTGAAGATTAACTTTTTTCTTTAGAAATCATGTCGTCTTTTTAACTTGCAATACTCTTAAAAAAAAATTGTATTTAAAAAAACTTACAAAGAACCAAGTGCAAAAATAATTTTTTTAATTAACAAATAATAAGAAAATGAGTTCAGTTTTTTAATAAAAAAAATTATACAAAATTTAAAAGGTCTAGTTTTATTGAATTTTAAAATTATATTTATTTAAAAAAGCTTATATATGTAAGTTTAATTGGGTTTCAGTTAGACTAGACTTTAGTTCTGTTTTAGTACTGAGGTATTGAATTTTCCATGCCTGATGTCAACATTAAATTAACCGCTATTGTTCAAAGTCCCAAAAACTAAAGGCCCATAATGATGTAAATAGGGGTTCGAAGGAGTTCGTTTAACATTTTCAATGACGATTTCGAGCACTTTTGAATGCCCCAATTTACCTGCAGTTTAGTAATTTATGAGTTCATTGATTTTTATTTTAACATTTTATTTTGCCATGCATTTAGTTAATAAAATTTGTGTTATACACGTTATATGTATACTACTTAAAGAGAGAGAGTGAAATAAAAAGCACTAAATCTATTCAAATTTATTAACAACTTTCCACTAATATCACAATAATTCGTAAAAATAAATTCAAATAAAGAAAAAATAATAATGGAAAAAAGTATACAAATGTAATTGTAAAAGCCTATAGTAAAATTATTTATTATCACTAATAAGAATTGAGTTATGGAAGAATTGATTTTTATAAAATCTAGATCAAGGAAGAAATTAAAAAAAAGAGTATATTTATTTTCAATCGTAAGCTAGTTTTAGTTAAATATTCTTTTTTTTCTTTGACTCTATCACAAGTTTTACTAAGTATGTTTCATTTACTGTATTTTGTTATGTTTAAAAATCTAGTTAAAGCTTTGTTTTTTTTTATTAAAAAGTATTCTTATTAAAGTGGTATTATTAAACCTGCATATATCTATAACCCCTGACATCTTTATGATGATAATTTTCATTTAATTTAATATATTGACCTAGAAATTGCTGAACCACAGAACTGCGGCATAAAGCATGTAATTGACCAATGACGTACGGAGTTGCTATAGTTATGAGAATATAAGATAAATGGGGTATTTTATCGGTATGACCCCAGGGATAGAACCAATAGCCACGTCTAATGGCATCACGTGTATGATGTGTTATAAAGGCACAAAGCAAAACCCCAAAGAAGAGACTCCACTTGAAGTAATTGAGACAGGCGGTGCAAATGTAAAACAACAATAAACCAAAAATAAATGTTGAGCAGTGTAAAAAGGGGCGACGCATAAGATTTGTGGCATCCTGTTTCAAAAAAAGAAGTCAATTTCATATATATACCCTTTTAAGCTCTAGAATACTTACCTCCAAGCTCCAGCTTCTAGCGGCTATAAAATGATCCACATCTATTAAACTGGAGCAAGCAAAGCAGGTGAATATAAGAAACCAACCAAAGAAATGACTGGTTCTTTCGTAAAATTGCACAGCAAATGCTATCCCCGACAGAGCTCCTATAGCGGCATGTGTAGCATTGTCTGCCAAAGCCTTTAGCATAGGATGTTGGGTTAATTCCACAAAATTATCACCCAATAAACAGGTAATGCTCACCAATGTGGTGAGTATAATGCGCATATAAACCATTAGATGACAGTGCATGTAATCAAATAAATACGATAAATATTCAAAGATTATATGTAAGTTAGGGACGGCTTCTGTGCGTTGTTTTGATTAAGGAAATGCTATGTATTATTTATGTATTGAAATCTAAAGGCATTTTAATTTATTTCCTTTTTATATCATGTAAGTGCTCTTCTTGCTTTTTAAGGAATAGTTACCGACTAAAAAAAATATATTTTAGTGATATTTTGCGAATTTATAATAAATTTCTCTAACTTTTTATCTCATTTGTACTTAAAATAGATTTTCACAATATTTATATTCTATTTCGTATTATTATTGTGACACAGATAACATAAAATTATCGGCAAGGCGAATTCACATAAGGTGTATTTTGTTTTTGCATTTGGTTCGCATTGATATCAAAAACAATATGTACGACAAATTAATATTCAATGTTAATAATTATAAATACTGATTAATTTTTAAGACATCGATTGTGAATTGAACAAATATTGTTTAATATGTTTCTTTTTTTAATTTTTTTTACATAAATAGTTCAAAATACTAAGGAAATTTTTCTCTGTTTTAACGGACATTTTTAAAAATAAAAATGTAAACAAAAATAAACTTTAACAGCTACGCAAACCAGGCGAAAAAATAATTATCAGCTGATTGAATTACACCACCTTATGTGAATTCGCCTTGGTTTATTTTCTACAGCTGTTATTCTATTACATTTATACTTAGTTTTGTAATAGAGTTTATTCAAATTATTTTATAGCTGTTAGCTTTTGTCTATAACAAGATTAACATTTTGCCGTACTTTTTGTTTATATTTTACCAGTTTTATAAATTACGCAAAATAAATCATGAATAATTCAAAAATAAAGAAAATGCGCATACCGGTTGAATTGCAACAATTACAAAAATCACAAAAGGAACATGGTTTGTTATAGTGTATATTAAAAAAGATCTCTTGAACTGATAATATATGTTTCCAACAGGCATACGTTGCAACACTTTATCCACATCCCCGGATGATTTTACTGCTTTGGAAGCTTATATACCTGGTCCCAAAGGTTCGCCTTATGAAGAGGGTACTTTTAAGATGTCTATAACTTTTGGTGAACAATATCCCTTTCGACCGCCCACCTTTAAATTTATTACACCCGTTTATCATCCTAACATAGACAGTGGTAAGTGCCTTCTACAAAGGAGTTTAATTTATATATATTAACACTTTTAAAGCGGGAAAAATTTGTTTGGATCTTTTACGTATGCCGCCAACTGGTTCCTACAATCCCGCCATTACTTTGGAGTCTATATTGTTGTCGATACAACTTCTATTGGCCAATCCCAATCCGGATGATCCTTTACAGGGTGATGCTGCCGATTTATTTAAATCTAATCGTGAACTTTATAATCAAAAAGCTAGGGAGTTTGTTAAACAACATGAAGTCAAGAAAGTTGTTGATAGCGGGGATTTTAAGGAAAACGATGTTCCTGCTGAGAATCACGAAGTGAAAAAGAAAAAGCTTAAACTTAGCTGTAAATAAGAAATGCTGTAATCTAAAACGTGTTGTTAGAATAAAGAATTTTTATTATATTTACATAGGTACATATATAAATATTTACTAAATTACAAAAAAATGCAAATAACTTTTGGACAATACTTTTGACAATCAATGATTTTGGCTCACCTTTTGACCCAATTTGGTGACCAACGATCTTATAATTTTACTACTAGTCTAGAGCAAGCTAAATATAAATGTTCCTCCGAAACTAAGATTCTTATATTTGTTTTAACTCTCTCAAAGTACTAGCTACCCCGCAATCATGGGACCTAGCGAAAACTTGGTAATGACTTGTACTTACACAACAGCTTACTTTCCATTGGCGTGTTGAAATTGAGTTAAAATGACAATGTATAACTAGTGAATAGCGGCTTACTTAGCTTTCAAAACAAGTTTTTGGTGGGCAATTGAACTAGAAAAAGAAATACGGATATTTTTTTAACATAAACTTAAAAGATGTTACAATATATTTATTGGTATGTTTTTAGTATTAAATCTCAAAGACATTACAATTTTGAAATGATGGACTTAGATTAAAAATTTTAAATTAATACTTAGTGAAATCAGTGTATTTGTTTAAATTGAGAAAAATGCAAGAAAAATATAAATTATAATAATAAACATTTCAAGTTTTTTAAGCTTCTTAATAAAGATTTTGCAAGTATTATAAGATTGTTTTCAAGAATAGAGATTCAACTAAATTTAAACTGCATGATATGAGGGAGAGGCAACCAACTCTATTAAAACTTTTTTTGCGGCTAAAGATTCAAAAGCAATTAATTCATGGTTTATAAGAAATAATGATAAGAATGATTTTTAAACAATTAGTTGCAATAAAACATACAAATTCCCATACACACAAACATTTGCTCTAAAATCAATAAAAGGATGGCTTGGTATAATTTGTTTGTTTTAGCTTGAAGGGGATGATGACGTGTTATCAATGAACTTATTTATGTGTCTTGATGTTTTTCATAGAATGCATCAAGGTATTTTTTGTACTCCGTCTGATCGGCCCACATCATCGCTGCCTGCGCGTTTAAGGGACTGTCGTTGTTGGGCTCACCCAATAGAGACTGTATGGACAAGAGGATGGTGCGAACATCATACAAAGCTGACCATTTGTCCTTTAAAATATCCAAACAAATGGCACCTTGTAAGTCGACATTGGGATGAAAGCAGGGTGTTAGAAATTTTACTACTGGCGGTGCATACGGATACGAATTGGGAAATTCCAATGATAAACGATATTTCTGTGTAGCGTATACTGTATTCACAGGTCCGGCTATGGTGCCAATCCACTTGAAGATATTTTCACCATCGGGAAAGGCCGATATGCCCTTTTCGGTGGTCATCATTAAACTCATCAGTTCTTTTTGCAGTCTGAAATTAAATGTTTGGCTTAGAAATGTATGCATAATATACTACTTTCCAATAAATACCTTTTACTAACAGCATGATTATCCTTTATAGGTACTGAATCATCATTATGCTTAACACCCTGAGAACCGCCTGAGAGTCCACTGTGTTCAGGACTTATATTTTGTGCCATTTTATTATTTTTCAATTTATCTATAGCTTCTGTGTAATAAAATTGAATCGAATGTTAGTTTTTTCTTTAGCTTTCAATGATTTTTTCCTTGTTTGTATACTTTTTGTTTTGTGCAATTTTATAGATTTTTTCCAAGCAAAATTCGTATGGTTTTCCTTTCTTTACTTTATGTTGTCTATTCTTTTTCTTCTCTTTTGTGCGCTTTGCGTTTTGAAATCTCTCTTTTTGACAGATTTTAACGTTATAAACAAAATGGAGACTTCGAAAAAACAAAGAAGAATTTGGTGGGAAAGTAGAAATACAACAAAACAAACGAAAATATGAAGAGTTGTATTAAAAAAAGGTACACTGAACGATAGAAGTATATTAGGATTCTATAATTGACACAAAAAGTCGACTTATCGACCTTCCGACTATTTTCAATTTGATCATTTTCGATGTTTTTCAACCATTTCCAAATTTTGTCGATTTTCTTCACCAATGCATAGGGGAAACAAAATGCTGCTTTTACGACACCAAATTATAGATAAAATTACAGAAATTATGCAATATTTTATATAAATTATATGAAAATTTTGTAAATTAACACAAATTTCACTGAAACTTATGTTTAAAATCAATTTTAATTGCTCGAAAAAATTTTGTACTAATTATACAGTAAAATAATATTTGTTATAAAGGCAATGTTGTCTAAACAATTGTACGAAAAAATTTGTCATAAAAATGCTATAAAGCTATTAAATGCCGCTAATATTCGTCCTATACCCACCTTAAAGTATACCAATCGGCTTAGAATCGTTTTCTGAGTCATGTAAACCTTGTGCGCAAGGTACATGTCGCAATTTTCAAGATGATTGGATGAAATTTGACACGCACGTTTTATTTGGCCCAAGGACGAAGCCCATTATTTCACCTAGCCCCCATAGAACAGAACCCCCCGAAAAGGGTTTCTGAGCTCACAATTATGTTAAATATACAGATACATCGCTTCTATAAAACTTAGTTGTGTATGCGGCACAACTAAGTTTTATAGAAGCCTTGATGACCCTGGCAAATTTCATAAAGATCGGGCCCCATTTGACCCTAGCTTTTTTTGGATTTTAAAAGTTTTCTTTTCATATGTCAAAAATTTATGTATGGATTTTAAAATTTTTCTTTTCATTTGTCAAAAATTTATGTAGCCCTATGAGCTAGTCAAATTTTATTAAAAAATTTACATTTTCAAGTAAATTGTTACTCTTAATATTCATAACTGGTGTAGGGTATCATCATATGGTCGGCCACGCCCGACTATACTTTCTTACTTGTTTTATTATGATAATAATTCGAGTTTAGCTTTTACAAAAAATTGAAACGGAATCACTTGTTGTTGTTGTTACATGTTATAAGTTGTGTCCTGCCGTTAGTCGCCTGTCGTCTGCAGTCTTCATTGTAAACCGAATATGCAGAAGAAATTTTAAACATTTGTTTTCGGAGTTTTTAACTAAATACAGCAACAAGAAATTAACATCAAAATGAGTTTATAAAAGGCGATAGCTGATAATTGCTGTCTTGACTGGTTTGAAGTTCAAACTGTCAAATGTTTCATTTCAAGAAACACAAATGACAACTGTTGACAGATGAACGTTCCATAACAAGAACAAATTAGCTGCGATTTTTGTACAAGTAATATTTGTCGTAGTAGTGTCATCACTTCGTAATTAATGCGTTTTAAAACTTGAAAAAATTGTAAATATTCTTTCAATTGAAACAAAACAAAATTCTACTCTAAAATGGATGATTCAAACGGCTTGATTTATGGCCTAGAATTGCAAGTAATTTTTATTTAGTTTATACATAAAGAATTCTAAACAAAAACAATTTCCCCTTGCAGGCTCGAGCGTTAGCTCCTCAGTTGGCTGAAAGTAATGAAATTCGATATTTTATTGCGACAAATTCCTTGAAACCCACAAACCAAGTGCATTTGGTTGAGTACAATGAAGAAAAATCGAATATAACTTCAAAAATCTTTGAACATTCAATGGGTGAGGTGTGGAAAATAAATGCCAGCCCTCATGATTTGCATGAAATTGCTACTTGTTACAATGAACAGAACGGGAATAGTTTTAAAACTAAAGCGGCTCTCTTGACCTACAGTGACGGTGATGCTAATGCAGGAAATGTTGGCATTAAATCAGAATTTTTAGCGTGGCACAAAATGGAAATATTAGACACAGAAAAACATGGTGAAAAGGTGAAGACCGTAGAATACCACCCAAATCATATGGAAACTTTGGCTTGTGTGGTGGATAATAAAATCGTGCTATTTGATCGTGGTGAAGCGGAAACTAGACAAATTGCAGAGGTAACATCAACAGGATCGGCTACGAAACATATTAATCCATTTAATACGGGTAAATGGTCGTATCACCATCAAGGCCAACAATTTGTAGCCTTACATGACACTCATGTTAGAGCCTATGATATACGTGATCCTCAACATGTAACCTGGTCCATAGAGGAGGCTCATGGTCAGTTGGTACGCGACATTGATTGCAATCCAAATAAACAGTGTCATTTTGTGACGGGTGGTGATGATGGTTTTATAAAAATATGGGATTGTCGCCTGCCTAAAGAACCGGTATTTGCACGCAACGATCATTCGCATTGGGTTTGGTCCGTACGTTTTAATACATTCCACGATCAGTTAGTTTTAAGTAGTTCCAGTGACTGCAAGGTCTTGTTAACATGTGCCAGTTCAGTAAGTTCTGAAGCGGTAGAAGAGTTGGCTGGAAATAATCCTAAAGAAGAAGTACAGCGTAAGTATTTGGCAGATGGCTTATTGCAGGCCTTTGATCAGCATGAAGATTCTGTGTATTGTGTAGAATGGAGTAATGTTGATCCTTGGATATTTGCCTCGCTTAGTTATGATGGTCGTTTATTAATCTCAAAAGTACCCAAACAATATAAATATCAAATTATTTTGTAATCATTGGTATTTTTAATAAATCTCTAAATTATATTAGTTTTATAGCTAAAAAATTGTCTATACAATTACTTAATTTAACTAACCGGTATCCTCTGAAGTGCAGTCAGATGAATCATTGGGATTTGTAGTCTCTATCGAACACACTCTCTTAATTAGTTCGTTCTCTATGGGTTTGCCATTATCGACCGCCTCTTCCATTTGCACATACTCGACTGTGGTAGTGGAAGAGCTGGGTTTATCCATCTCATTTTGTTTTTTCGAACATGATGGAGCAGGGGAATCATTGCTTTTACTAACAGTAGAAGAGACTTTTCTAACTTCTGTTTCATCTTCAGCCTCCTCAGCTAAACTGCTTCTCTGTGGCTGGGCCTCGGCATACGCTACAGGGTATTGATGGCTTAGTTTTTGTTTAATGGAACGAATCTTTCGAAATATATAATCCAAATCCTTTTTCATATCGGCCAATACCTTACAGTGTCTTTTAAAATCATCGTTCGCCTGTTTTAAACGACTCTGTGATAATGCATTACAATTTAAAAGCATTTCATTCGTTTTCTCAAAACGCTGTAACCTAAAAATAAACAACATTTTATTGTAACTGGAAGAACAGTACAGGACCTATGATAACGATTAGTCTACATTTGTTTTTGAGCTCTTATCATAGTTTCAACATCACTTTGATTAACTAATCCAGCTAATCCTTGTATAAAAGCTTCACCAGCTGTATAGTTGTTAAATCCATCCATGCTAAATTCACTTTCTGGTGTTACGTCCTGTGTGACATCA